TGTGTGTGTGTAGTGTGTGTGTGTGTGTGTGTGTGTGTGTGTGTGTGTGTGTGTGTGTGTGTTGTGTGTGTGTGTGTGTGTGGTGTGTGTGTGTGTGTGTGTGTGTGTGTGTGTGTGTGTGTGTGTGTGTGTGTGTGTGTGTGTGTGTGTGTGTGTGTGTGTGTAAAAAAAAAAATGTGGAGACACTGTGAGCTATCGTTGGAGCTATGTGCAGCGCAAGGCATATATGCTCGAACTATCCGTGCTGACTTTTCGTACAAAGTCCCACTGTCTGGCTACCTGCATAAAGTCAAGTGCTCGGCGCAGTTGTCGGCGAAATGTCGCTCCTCTGTTTTCATTGCTGTTTCAGCTCCTTATATCCGTTAGCGCAGCTAGCTAGCACCAGATGCTAACAACAACACGTAAGGTGTCCCCCACACGCTCGCCCCACACATACACACACCCTCCCGATGGCCAGTCCGGGTCTGCCGGTGAGCGTGGAAGTGTGGTCTGCCACAAGCGGGCGGCAGGAGCGGGGCTGTCAGCATCAGCTTGTAGATGGTATTTTAAACTCGATGCGCTCTGAAACTACGGGGCGGGGCGGCCGAGGACAAAAAATACACATGCGTTAATCGCGTTAAAATAATTAGTGGCGTTCATTTTTTTTTGCGTTAACGCGTTATTAGCGCGTTAACTGGACAGCCCTAATTTAAAGTGATGTTTAAAACTCAGTTAATGGGGCTCATTCACTGGAGCTTCCACAAACAACAATCAACTTAATTATTACATTCAAATTATGTACATTATTCAAGTTTACATTCACTTTGGATAATAACACGGGAGAAATGAGCGGAAGCGCTCTCTTTTCCTCTCTCCCTCTCTCTCTCCCCCTCTCTCCCTCTCCTGACAGCCTGTCAGTATCTCATGCAGCTCAGCTGATCCAGTAATGAGTGACCCGACAGTGAAGAATAAATATATTTATAACTAGTTTAGCTAGTTCCAGAGGTTAGATAAAATAGCGAAGTGTGTTAGGTCTAACTCTTGTGTGTTTCGCTCCGCTCACCGGTCCGTCACAGCGGGTGGAGCTGCAGCATTTCTGCTTCACACACACGTTGCATACCGCTATTTTACTGTCTTTTTCGGACACCTTAAAATAATGCCAGACCGGTGAAGCCATTTTGGCGAGCTTGTTTTGCCGCGCACAGAGAAAAGTGTCATGTATTTCACGTCATGCGATCAATGCCAGCGATTCTCTCACTAGTTTAGCATATTCAGCCCGGTTGTTGGCCCGGAAAGAACCTCGATTTTGGAGAGCCAGAAAAACTGTGAAAAAGTACCCGCTAGCCGGAACTACGCCTAGTGGAAACGCAACCAAAAGCGCTTAAGTCGCGCTCCGCGCTGTAGTGGAAATGCGCCATAAGTGTTGCACGGCCAGATACGGCTCAAGAAGCTGACTCAGATAAGGAAATATATGATACATTATGATGTGATATTAATGATAATGGGACACATCGAAGTCTGCACTCACAGTGCCGCGGCGGACTGTACGTAATGTTACTTTGATCCGGTTACTTATGTTGTGGCAAATATTTAAGTAAGCTTTCTTAACGCTAATGTTATATTAGTCAGATTGCTCTGAAGATGGGAGGTGATATTCTATTAATTTTCACGTTCACACAGTCAGTTGATTTTTGCCGGCCGTCTTTCCTGCAACGGCAGTTTTTCTGTATTTCCTTTATCCTGTAATATGACTTGATAGCTTTAAACTCCGCACATTGAGCTCTGATTGGTCAGCAGGCGGTGCTTTCACTGAGTTGATCTCTTATCCTGGAACCTAACCTGCTCCGGAGCAGGTTAGCCGTTCAGCATAAGTTACCATGGAGATCTAGCCCGGTAAAAAGAGAACCAACGTTGTAGGACCGGAAACCCAGAGTTTTCCCTGAAGTTACCTCACTAAGTGAAAATCCGGCTTCGTAGTACAGGCCTCAGGACTAGAGAGGCTTTCCTGCTAGTCTGTCTGCTCTTTAAGTAGCAGCAGTAATCAGTCTTCACCTAAGTGTGTCCTGATCACACCTGCTGTCACTTTCCCAATCAGGAGCATTTGGTGACAGGCATTCATTAGCCCTTCTAGAGGGCAGTGTTTGGGCAGCCCAGGGAATTCACAACAGCCGCCCCCGCAGTAGCTCAGCTGCTGTGAAAGATATGAATTCCCGTTCAGTTAGCTAGTTCAGGTAAGGATATCAAGCGGGCCACTGGCCGAGTGTAAGTTCTGTCTTGAACTAGAATGTCAGCTGACCTGACACACTGGTCAGGGCTCGGATGCAGCCCGGTAACCTTCCCTACTGGCCATTGGGCCCTTGGCAGTTGTGGATCCATTATAAGAACAGCCGTATCCAGTTGCAAGTTATCCGATGGCTTTTCCCATTTCTGCCGTGATTGCAAGGTTGGCAGATAGTCCTTGATAAAATAGGTCCAGAATTGATTATTTACATCAGATGAAGTGTATCCAAGTGGTTTTGAATTGAGCATACCCTCAACCTCAACCAGTACAGTGGCAAGGACTTCTTCTGACACTGGTTGGCTTCCAACAACAACCCGAAGAGCATTTACATGGTGTTTACTAGTGCAACACAACTGTCAGTCCTCCTCAAACTAATGCTAATTATGAAGTATAGTGGTATTTATTAATTTCTCTATTGTTTTGGTTTGAGTTACTGAATGAGTGCTTTGTTTAATCATTGAAGACACTATTGAATTGATCAAATCTAAAAGAAAAAATGTGATATCACGAAAAGAAAAAAAACATGTAAATGCAAAAAAAGTGTAACCTACTTTATTCAACCATATGTACTTGTGTTTTAAGGCAGGATCACTGTACTGCATGATTTAACCCTTCTGTAAGGTTAAAGTGGAAATGCACATGGTCATGTTGAGGATTAATCCCTAGACACACCAAACAGACATCAAAGAACTAGTTGCGATGTAGCCGACTGTTGCTTAGCCTTAAACACACTACAAAATCTATAGCCAAGGCCAAACTTCCATGTACGTTCTGCCCTGCGTGAGAGTAAATAACCCTCTATGATGAGGCTCGCTTTATATCTAGCTTTATTCCAGATGGCCATGTTGTTGTGAAAATATCCCATCAAATAATTAAAAAGACATGGGGAGAAAAAATGAAAGAGACTCGGTGTATGTCCTCTTTTCACAAGTTGTTGTGCGTTTATTTTTATTTTGCACTGATTAGCTTGTGCTAAACAGCAAGTCAGTGATTACTTTTGCCCACAACCTCCACGAGAACATACAATTATGAATCAAAAGCGGAGCCTGTTTGCTTGGCCCTAAATTGCCAACATTTTGGGCACACCTCAAAAACCAGGGCGACAGATGCCCTCAGAGGGTCCAACATTGATGATGGCCGATAACTGGCTTGGTGTGTCGGAGCCTTAAAGCATGCTTTTCAAAACCAGTGGAAATAGTCTATGAATCTGCAGTCACAGGAAGTCAGAATCAGAATCAGAATACCTTTATTCGTCCCACAGAGGAGCTATGTACATTTGTTACAGCAAGAAAAGAGCCAAAGACAGCTTAATATTACCCAAGAAGCATGCATTAAAAAATATTAAAGATACAAAATTAAAAAGAAAAATTACACAATTTACAAAATACACATCCTGTAACAGGGTTAGATATATCGGAGATATATCAGCCAGGTATATATTGCACAGTTATTAATGGCATATATATATATTGCACATATATTTCACATAATTGGTATTGCACAACAAGGGGTGTTATAGTCTGTGTTGTCGGTGTGTGGGGGTCTACCAGGGACCATGATGTCCTATCTCTCCGTGAGACAGCGGGGGTGCAGCAGCCTGTCTCTGAAGGAGCTGCACAGTGCGGACAGGGTGTCCTGGAGGGGGGGGGGGACACATTGTCCAGGAGGGAGGACAGCTTGGCTGCCATTCTCCTGTCTCACACCACCTCCACAGTGTCCAGAGGACTCCCCAGGACAGAGCTGGCCTTCCTTATCAGTCTGTTTAGTCTCTTCCTGTCAGCAGCCGAGATGCTGCAGCCCCAGCAGGCCACACCATAGAAACATGGTTTCCTCTTTCTGGCAATCAGGGCTGTGTCTGTTCATCTTGCAGCGCAGAGGCTATCTCAGGTGCTCTTTGGTTAACTGGGAGAAAAACAGGCCAAGGCATCACTGACCAAGCCTTATCTTGCCTAACGAGCTTTCAGGTCAGAACTCATTGAAAGAGGCCTGCTTAGGCCTTTTTCTAGCTGGACCATGATGTCTAAAAACCCCACCCCAATATTTTGTAGGAATTACCATTTGTCATTACAAAAACTAATGTTGCTCGCTTGATAGCCTAGTTAGTACATATTATATAGCCTAGACCAGTGGTTCTCAACCTTTTTACACCAAGTACCACCTGAGAAAATAGTTGGCTCTCCGAATACCACCCTATGACCAATGTTAAAATACAGTCTATGCACAGTTCATGCAGGACTCGGAGGCAAATGTATTCATAATAACATTATTTATTGTCAGCCACAGGTACCTCTCTCTCTCTCTCTCTCTCTCTCCTCTCTCTCTCTCTCTCTCTCTCTCTCTCTCTCTCTCTCTCTCTCTCTCTCTCTCTCTCTCCTCTCTCTCTCTCTCTCTCTCTCTCTTTATTCTTTAATTAATGTTATTCAATCAAGCCTCAAACTGATGGCACTTGTCCCTATAGCCTGTTTTAAATTGAAGTTGTCTGAGGTCCTTACCACCAGCTGCTCTTGCAGTAATAAGTAGTGTACCTTACTGTCCCAAATGTGCACAATGTAGTGACTGCTTTTCGTCTTTTGTTTACTTAGTTGTGTTTTCTGTATTTTATATTTCTGTGTTATGTGTAAAGGTTAAATAAAATAAATAAATCATTTTTTTTTTTTTTATAAGTCAGATTCCTCCGCGTACCACTAGCGGGAGCTGGCGTAATTGACTAATTGTGTATGTTTTTGTGTGTGATTTACAGGAGACGTCCTTTCATGACCGCACCACCTGGATTGCCTTGACTGTTTGGCTTCCATGATGCTTGGTCTACAGGGAAGTACTTCAACCCCCAAGATGTATCGTTGTGTGGCATGTTCAGCCACCTTCCCTGGATTGGCCTCTTTGCTCGTACATCAAGCAACCCATGCTAGTGTACTCCCCAAGGTCTCTTCCCAGCCACAACTGAATGTCAGCCCTCCTGAAACACTGTTTGGAAGTATGAACTCATCCAGTGAGCAACCCGGTCCACTCTTGCCTGAGTGCCCTTCACCTTTTTGTTATATTTGTGATTGTGGAGAAGAGTTTCAGGACTTCAGTCTAATGCTGGAACATAAGCAGTCACATATCCCTGAAATCCATCTACTGCCACCTCCGAATTGTAATAGTGCTGGCTCTAGTAAAATAGCATTCGATAAAGATTTAACCTCCCTGCATGTACCAGAAGAAACACAGCCAGATTTGGCCCTTAGTCTCCCCTCTACCTCAAGGTATCCAGATGTTAAACTACCCACGTTAACAGAACATAAAGCAAATGTAAACCTGGAGGATGGCATTGCCATAGTAACCACTCCTCAAGGCCAAAGTACACCTTCTCAAGATGAAGGTGAGAAACAACTTGAGAAAATATCAGGCCCAGCAGAGCTCATACCACAGACTGTAGAGGACATGCATGTGCAGGACCAAACACATTCTGTTCCCAGCAGCATAAAGGGTGAGTTCTTGCCTAAAAATAACGCTTTAATGAAGATGCTCGCAACAGCATACATGAAGCACTTGCCACAGCCACTGTCTGAGAATGAAGACGATAACACCGTTACCCCCAAACAAGAAGTGGTCCCCGTTGATATAACAACAGAAGCTAAAACTGAAGAGCCCCCAATCAACAATCTTTCAATTTTACAGTTGAGGCGGCTGCTTGCAAAACCCGGTATAAAGACAAAAGCTCCATCCATCAGCAGAATTCTCGAATCCAGTAAAAAGAAGGTTGTCTCTCTAACTAAGACTTTATCCCCCGTAGTGGTTCTTGAAACCCGCCAAAGGCTCATGGATCCTGGCAGTAATGGCACATATGGGAGATATCAATGTGGCCGCTGTCGAAGGGTCTTTCAAGATGTAGACAAACTTGCAGAGCATCATTTCTTGCACAAAAAAGAGAGGATTAAATGTTGCCGTCGCTGCAAACAGCTGATCATTGGGCGGCTCCCTTTACCTGATAATCATGTATGCCCTCGTTCAGGAAACAACACCACACAACCATCAAGCTCTCTTAAAAAGAACTTACCATTTGCCAAAAGAATAGTTCCATTCCATAGCGTGAACAATTCAAAAAAAACGTTCTTTTGTCCAGTGTGCAAGCACAACTATGCTCGGATGTGGAACCTCAAAATGCATAAATGCCAGGGACCAACGTCAGCCCCCTTTACGCAGAAAAAACCCTTCTCTTTCGCTAGGACTCAACTCTCCAAGAGTGTTGCCGTGGGAACTGAACTTACTGGTCGTATCAAGGTCGAGGTGACCTCTCCTGATTCGGAGCAGTCTGCAGTTTCTCAGTTGGCCTGGGTTCATCCAGCAAAACGCTTCTTACCATTTCCCCCCAAATCTACCACAAGGGAACAGCACAAGCAAGGAGAAGAAAACAGCAGCTGGGATGCAGCAAATGAAATGGAAGACGGTGATGAAGGGGAGTGGACAATGCCCTTGGATGATGAAATGGAGGTGCTTAACTCTACAGAGAAAACTGATACTGATGGAGAGGTGAATAATGCTGTGACAGGCGAACATCAAGGGACGTCGCTGCGCTATTTTGTCAGAGATGGTCTAAAACGTTACCCTTGTAACCGATGTCAGAAAACCTACAGTCGGCAATCGACTTTGAGGCGCCATCTACAGCTGTGTGGATTTAGGCCACGTGGATCTGGCACTGTAGCACAAAGTGGAAGTCATGGTGCCAGTTCCCTAGCTGCAAACAATATGAAACCAATGTTTGCCTGTTTTGTATGTGGGAAGGAATTTAACCGCAAAGATAACATGATGGTTCACAGTAAGAAATGTCATTTGCAACAAAAAATCCCAGGCGGAGGACAGGTGGGTAGAGGGACTGTGCAGCAGAGTATGTCAGGCAATGCAACAGAGGAGGATGATGAAGGAAACTGGGGCATCATGTCACTGCCCTCCGTTCTTCCAAGAAGGGTGACGTGTGAGTGCGGGGTGGGATTTACATCTCCTAGGCTTCTCTTGGTGCATCTGCAGAAACATGCACAGGAATCCTACACATGTCCGACTTGTGGAGAGACTGTCAATTCCTGGGCAGACTACGAAGTTCACCTTCAGATCCATATGCATCCTCATCACCAGCTGCTGAAGGCACTAAAACCACAACGATCACAACCATTATTGCTTCGTTTTCAGCAGCTGCCGCCTCAGCAGAAGCCTCCTCCTCAGCAGAAGCCTCCTCCCCAGCAGAAGCCACCACCTCGGCCAGTGCATCAGCCCCCACAGAAGCAGCCACGCCCGCTGCAGCTTCCAAATCAATCAAAGAAGCAGCCGCGCATTGTGTGCACCCGATGTGGGAACACCTTTTCCTCTCGCTGTTCCCTTCGGCGACACGTATCCTGGAACCGCTGCAAAGGTGTGCGTGCCACCAATGCCGCAAACCCACCCAAAACGTTCCAATGTTCAAAATGCAACTCTGACTTCCCGAACACAACCAGTCTTATGTTTCACCAGAGGAGTGGTGCTTGCAAGCCTGCCATCAAGCCTGTGCGTTGCCCTGTTTGTCTTCGCTGGTTTGGCACTGTGGACGGATTGCAGAGACACCTGCTTACTCACAAGCCGTCTGAATCCAAACAGTCTGAATCATATCGCTGTGATGTCTGTCAGGGTACCTACACAAACTTGAAATCACTCAAAAACCACCGCAGGAGGATCCATCGCATCATGGCTGGGGACACCACACCCAAAACGCAACAGCTGACTTCCTAATCACATTTTAGTTTCTAAGTAGACATGTGAGGGGTGCATTCAAAACAGACCACATTTTTCAATTGTTGTATTTTTCCATATGTGCCAAAAGGTGTTTTTGTTATTTACTACCCATGTTACAGTGGTATTGAAGCTTGACATTGTTAAAAAGACGATGCTGTGGTATGCTGTAAATAGTTAGATTTAGTTAATCAATTTATTACATAACCTCATTGGCCTGTAAATAATCAAACGTTTACCACAGAGTTAGTGATGTAGCTCATTGTTGTTCCTAGTTTAATAAACATCCTAGTAAGTGAAACATGTACGTTTTATAATTGTGTGCAATATGGGATATTATCTTAAACTCTTCAAAGCAAGCAATGGATAGAATTGTATATATGTATATGCCTCCACATTATGTATGGGCAGTAAACAAACTCATCACTGAAATAGTCTTAGTCAGGGTACGTTAATAGTTGGGCAAAGCGAGCAGCCCAAAACGTGGTGCTCCCAAAAGCTCCAGGTTTTTCTCTGTTTAAACTTGTTTCTGCTTTTTTAGGAATGCTTAGGGGTAGGTATATTTAAAACATAGCAACAACTGACAGGGTGAGATCCTTAAGGTGGCTCATACTTCCTTTCCTGATAATGAGCCCTTGTTTTGAGGTCCATCGTTGCAAATGTTAGTTCTTTTATTTCATTTAGAGTCTGTACTTCAGTCCATTAACTAAGCTCTATCACAATTTTATCCTAGCAGGTTACCATTGTATTTGAACAAAAGTAAGGTTTAAAGAAAAGTTCTCATTACCTTAGTCTTGGAGTAATAACTGGCTAATAAAAACATATTTTGATGTGTTGATTGAAGTGAATGGTCATTTATTCCATATTTACAGAGGCCTTCTAATTGTTGTTTTCTGAATCAGATTTGTGTTTGTGTCTTGAGGTTGGAATCTGCTTCCAAACAAGGTTTGTATGAAACTAAATTCTTAAATATTTGTTACATTTGACATAATACTTTTATAGAATCCATCTAGAGCTCTGAAATGGGACACTAAAAATGATAATCACTGACTAATGAATGTACTTTGGTAAAGGAAAACAACATTTAATAAACTATGCTGACTGTAGAAAAACTACTACTAGTATTACATTACATTGCATTTAGCTGACGCTTTTATCCAAAGCGACTTACAATAAGTGCATTCGACCAACAAGATACAAACTTGAAGAAAACAGAATCATATAAGTACATCAGGTTTCATAGAGCCAAAACATTTCAAGTGCTACTCAACTGGCTTTAGATAAGCCAGTCCTTTATTAGTATGTAAGTGCTTTGTTAGTAATTCTATCGCTCGAAGTGGAGTCGAAAGAGATGAGTTTGCAGTCTGAGCCGGAAGGTGTGTAGGCTTTCTGATGTCAATGGGGAGCTCATTCCACCATTTTGGAGCCAGGATAGCAAACCGACGTGTTTTTGCTGATGGGAACTTGGGTCCCCCTCGCAGTGCGTGTGCAGTGAGCTGTTTGGCCGATGCAGAGCGGAGTGCACGTGCTGGGGTGTACAGTTTAACCATGTCCTGGATGTAGGAAGGGCCAGATCCATTCGCAGCAACCATTGTCTTGAAGTGGATTCTAGCAGTTACTGGAAGCCAGTGAAGTGAGTGGAGGAGCGGCGTGGTGTGGGAAAATGTTGGAAGGTTGAAGACCAGACAAGCCGCTGCATTCTGGATGAGCTGCAGAGGTCGGATGGCACATGCAGGTAGACCAGCCAGGAGGGAGTTGCAGTAGTCTAGGCGTGAGATGACGAGAGCCTGGACCAGAAGTTGTGTCGCTTTCTGGGTCAAGAGGGGACGTATCCTCCTGATGTTGTAAAGAGTGTAGCAGCGATGTTTGCAGTGAAGTACAGGTTGTTATCTAGGGTCACACCCAGATTCCTTGCAGTCTGAGTCGGGGAAACAACAGAGGTGCCGATGTTGATTGTTAAGTCAAGAGTGGGACAATCTTTTCCCGGAAGGAAAAGTAGTTCAGTCTTGTCAAGGTTGAGCTTGAGGTGGTGAGCAGACATCCACTGAGAGATGTCAGCTAGACAAGCAGAGATGCGTGCAACGACTTGGGTCTCTGAGCGGGGAAAAGACAGAATTAATTGGGTGTCGTCAGCGTAGCAGTGGTATGAAAAACCATGCGGGCTAATGACTGATCCGAGCGAGTTTGTGTACAAAGAGAAGAGGAGGGGACCAAGAACAGAGCCCTGAGGGACCCCTGTAGTTAATTGACAAGGGTCGGACTCGGACCCTCTCCAAGTTACCCTGTAGGTGCGGTCTTTGAGGTATGAGGTGAGGAGGGAAAGTGCAGAGCCTGAAACTCCAAATTCTTGGAGAGTGCGAAGGAGGATCTGATGATTCACCGTGTTGAATGCAGCAGACAGGTCCAAAAGGATGATGACAGAGGAGAGGGAGGCTGCTTTAGCAGTGTGCAGTTCCTCAGAGACAGCGAGGAGGGCCGTTTCTGTTGAGTGACCTGCCTTGAAACTAGACTGGTGCGGATCCAGAAGGTTGTTCTGATGGAGATAACAGGAGAGTTGTTTAAAGACAGCGCGTTCAAGTGTTTTCAACAGGAACGGGAGGAGAGAGACAGGCCTGTAGTTTATAACATCGGACGGGTTGAGAGTGGGTTTCTTTAGGAGAGGGTTTACTCTTGCCTCCTTGAGACTGTTTGGAAAGTGACCAGAAGTTAGAGAAGTGTTGATGAAATGGGTGAGAAACGGTAGAATATCAGGAGCGATAGTCTGAAGGAGGTTTGAGGGGATAGGGTCCAGAGGACAATTGGTAGGACGGGCAGAGGTAATGAGGGTAAGAACCTCACTTGGAGAGAGAGGGGAAAAAGAGGTTAGTGTGTGGGTGAACGGTGGGTCTGGTGACCCAGCGGTGAGTAAAGGTGAGTCAGAAAAAGAAGAGCGAATATCATCAACCTTTTTTTCAAAGTAGTTAACAAAGTCGCTTGACAGAAGGGAGGAGGGGGAAGGGGCTTTGGGGGGTTCGAGGAGGGAGGAGAAGATGGAAAATTGTTTTTTGGGATTGGAATAGGAAGATTGGATCTTATCTTGAAAGAAAGTGCTTTTTGCCTGAGAGATCGAAGCAGAGAAAGAGGAGAGGAGAGCCTGATAGGTTAGGAGGTCGTCATGGTGTTTGGATTTCCACCATTTCCGCACAGCTGCACGAAGGATGGTTCCATTAGCATGCAGTGCGTCATTTAGCCAGGGAGCAGGAGGGGACTGACGAGCCTGCCGAGATGTGAGAGGACAGAGAGAGTCTAGAGAGGATGAAAGAGTAGAGAGGAGAGTTTCTGCAGCAGAGTTTGGAGGCAGGAGTTGGAACGAGTCAGAGGAAGGGAGGGCTGAGAGCACCGATGAGGTCAGAGTAGAGGGGGAGAGGGAACGAAGGTTACGGCGGACAGGTGCAGAATTAGAAGAGATTAGTTTGTTATGTTTGGAAAGGGGTAGAGAGAGAATGAAATAAAAAAGTGATCCGAGGTGTGAAGTGGGTTTACAGAGAGGTTAGAAGTAGTGCAGTTCCTTGAGAATATGAGATCGAGGACATTGCCAGCTTCATGAGTTGGTGGGGGTGGAGACAGTGAGAAAGCAAAGGCGGTTAAAAGAGATGTTAGTTCAGATATCTTCCCTGTCTGGAGGTTGAAGTCTCCGAGAAGTACAGTGGGAGGGCCAGTTTCTGGGATGTGTGAGAGGAGATTATCTAATTCCTCCAAGAAGTCCCCCAAGGCGTCCCCCAAGGCGCCTGGTGGACGGTAGAGAACAACAATGGTTAATTGTATAGGATGGGTTACAGTGAAGGCATGGAATTCAAAGGTGAAAGGAGAGAAGTTAGGTAGCTTGATAGAGGGAAAAGCTCCATTTGGGAGAGAGCAGGAGACCAGTGCCACCTCCTCTGCCAGTGGGTCTGGGTGTATGGGAGAAGGAATATGCTGTGGAGAGAGCTGCTGGGGTGGATGTGTTGGATGGAGTAATCCAGGTCTCAGTGAGAGCAAGGAAATCCAGAGACTGCAGGGAAGCGTAGCCAGAGATGAAGTCAGCCTTAGGAACAGCTGACTGGCAGTTCCACAGGCCACCTGTAACTAGATGTTGGATCGCAGTGGAGCATGTGGGATAGACGAGAGCAGGCCGGTTATATCGATTAGGAGATACACGGGGCCAGTGATAATTGCGAGAAGACACATGAACAGGAATGGAGAAAATACACATGATTATAGCATGAGGGGCTAAAAAACAAAACACCAGCGATACTTAGCTCAATCAAAGTAGGATTTGCCTTCTCTTTGCCTCCCTCGTGACTCCCGCAGGACTCTAATGTCTTTGTCAGTCTTCGTCTGTCTGACGCTGAAGCTGATCTTTACAATCAACAAACCGGCATGACCCCTGATCTCCTTTTTTTCTTTAATTTCTGTTAAATAGTTGTAGAAGGTAATACATTTGAGCTAAAATAGATCAAATTGAAGCAAATCAAAATGTTGGTTCAAAGACAACTTAAATCTAGACCTCTGACTTTCTACTATGATTTGAATGCTATGAGACTCCCCAGTCCTGTTTATTTATGAACTTTGCACAATCATATTTTAATATGGCAATATAAACTGTTATAGCCCTGGTACTTCTCTAAAGGACTGGTCCTATTGCTCTTTTGTTCAGGAGCCTTTAACTGTTTCCAGGGTCGGTAAGTAATAGACTTCTTGTACTTAGGATAACTTAATCAGATTTCAGAAATAAAAAATGGTCAGCCCAGCAACAAAATCTGAACAAAATAAAAGATCAAATGCATTGAAATGATTTGGAAGGAAAAATAATGTATTTGTATAATGGAATATTTGTGGGACTGAAATGATGGTGTCCGTATTCATCTTTTGTATAAAAATAAGGAAATAAATAGGCAATATTTGAATTGTTAGATTTTGAAATAATCCACTCAAAACAAGTTCAGTTTAGTTAGTAGTAATCACATCTTTATGTACTTGTATTCAGTACCTATGTGTATTATAATATTATTTAAAATAACGTTTTGTATCGCTTTTTATGGTTGTTACAATGGTCGCATATCCAATATTATAAAATTGTTTGAATGACATTTGAAAGTAGGCCTAATCTGACCCAACCCTGTGAATGACACAGTCCATATCAGCAGACTGAGCAGAGACTTCATTTTAATGGTCTTTTATTCTTCTCTGTGTAATAAAGACAAGAGCCATAGACTGTATATTTAAAGCTAAAAATACTCATTATACATACAGAAGTCAAGCCTCCAGACGATAGGTGTCAGTATAACGATGCAAACCCCGCACTTCCTGCTGTCGAAGCGCGCCATCAGTAGAAGAAGTGGAGGTATTTCCTCTTTGGTTTTGGTGTGGCTAATGCGTTCTTATTATACATCCATGGGCTAATGGGCTAACTGCAAACGACTAGATAAAACACTGACAGGTCAGTCTGATGTTCACTGACTTTCAAAACTACAATAGACACATTGTTTGCTTTTTTTGTCGCAGGAATATGCCAGGATATTAACACGGATACACTTTAAAGTGATGGTAAGCTCTCGTTATTGTAAGCTAGTTGAAGCTAACGTTAGCATGGTAGATTTTTCCCAAGGCAATGGCGCGTACAACAAAATAACATTCAGAAGAAATGTAAAACAAGACTAAATAACGTATTTCCCCAACTATGAAGTAGTATATCAAAGCAGGTATTTCAACTTAATTGGATAGATGGAAGACTATGTTTGCATTCCACAATATTTGGGCTGTTTGATAGAACTATAGAAATGACAAAATAACGAGTTTATTTGACACTCCCTAAAGTTTTGTCTTTCTGTCTGAAACGAGCAAATGTTCATGGGTATATGAAAGTGTATTTTTAATATTACAGCTGTCTCCTAAGCTTAGCATCCAGTTGTATATAGCCGTTAGCATAACTAGCTACTGATTCAGATAGCATCAGTCATCATGGTGGTACAACGGTTTTTATTTTATTGAATCGGTTTATGATTGCAATGATTCCAACACTTGTCTCCAACAGCAAAGGTGCTCCAGGGCTCCACACCAGCAGTGAAGACTTCCATACCTAACCTGATGATGGAGAGGGGAAAGTCAAAACTGCAAAATATCCTGGAGGATGACCTGGGCAGAGATTTAATGAATGCCGGGCAGTTTTGCTTCAGCTGTGAGCAGATATTTGCAAATCGGAAATGCCTGGAGGAACACTTTTGTTCTGCTGCAAGTCATATCTGCTCATGTGGCACTGAGTTTGCTGAATACAAAGACGTGCTGGACCACAGCACATCACATGAGCCAGGTCACCAAGTCCTTGATCATGGAACAATACAGAAGCGCAGAATTGAGAAGCGTATAGAAGAGGAGCAGCAGCTGAAAAGACTACAGACTGGTGAGGTTGTCTGGAAGGTGCCTAAACTAAACAATGTGCCATCAGTGTCTCTTCTGGGGACACCTTTGCTGAAAGGACCCATGACATCAGCTCTAATGCCACAAGTTCCCATGCAGTCTCCGCAGATTTCACAAGTGCCTCCGCTGAACAGCTCTCTGTCACAAACACCTGTGCTCATTAAACCCAGTGAGAAAGCCATGCAGAAAATTTTTGCAGATATAGGTGCACCAACTGTAGATCTTTGGTCACTTTACCAACCTGTCGTGATTTTGCCAACACTGCGCACATTTAACAAGACACAACCTTACACATGCGCTAAATGTGGGCATTGTTTTGAGAGAAAAACCTCCCTCATATCCCACCACAGCTCTCATGTAATAGATAAAATATCTGGCTGTATAGGATGTGGGATGATCCTCTCCAGCAAGAAAGCTGTACCCCGCTTTCACTTTTGTAAGGCACCCCACAGTACCACCAAATCCAGAATCATCACTGCGACACCTCTACATTTCAAGAAGCCAGTTGCCAGTACAGGCATTACTCAAAGGGTTGAGGGGCCTTGGGCCACTTCCTCTCAACAGCTGAAAAGTCAAAGTCCCACTGCTGCAAGGAAAGGCAGTCAAGCTGGGATTTCCACCCTGCAGCTGAAAAAACTGAAAATCAGTGCACACATTAAAAGCAATCAGGGGCTTAATGTCTTGCCGCGCCTGATAGCAAGGGGTCCCAGCTCCTTCAGTCCTTATATCACTTCCCCTCTACTATCGAAGAATCCTCATCCCAGGGCATCCAATAACGGCAGTCGAGGGCTTCCTGTCCCTCACTTCGTGCAGCTGAAGACACCCACACAGTCGGCTTCAGGTGTATCAAACTATCCAATGCAGACATCCTCTGCATCAAATGGTTTTCCATGTCGAGTCTGTCATCTTCCCTTTGAATCTGCTCAGCTGCTACAGAGGCACAAGTGTGCCAGAGCAAAGGAGTTTATGGCACAGCACGTGCGAGATGGCAAACAATACAGACTAAAGAGGGTGGCACCATTGACACGCCCAATTCCGGTTTTGATGAATGGGGAGAGAAAACCTGGGGTTTCAGCTTATGGTAACATAAAGACAAACCAAGTCATGTCTGGTAGTCTGAACAAAGGGCAAGGGGCAGCTCCTGTGGATGGGGAAACACGAGGCGATACGGACGATGATTGTTTCATAGTTGAAAGCGGACCAGACAAACCTGCTGAGATGATATACCAAGTAACCTCATCTGTTCCTATCACAACTTGACAACATTTGAAATGTAACTCCAATTTGCACGTCACATTTATGGACCAAGTGCATAGTCCTGTTAAAACAAAATATAGTTCTTGAGGTTAATTGCACATGAACACTATTCTCTCTGGGTTTCTCCATATGATTTTAAAGAATTGTAAGGTGACAATATTAATGTATCTTAATAAAGCTGGGTTTCTTTTGCCACAACTGTAAACAATCAGTGCCCCTGAAAATGTAATAAAGGTTTATCATAAAATTCTGAAAATGTATGTACATGGCTTACCCAGTTTTGGTGGGATAACCAGGATATCTATTATGTTTTTTGTTCTTCAATATATTTTTAGTATGATCAGAATGTGTTGAGATGCTGTGGGAATTGGAACGCAATAAGAGGAAATATGTGTTCCTACCACCTTTGTCAGACTTTGAAAGGTATATGTTGTATTAAACTGTATTTTCAAACTGAGTGTTTTCATCATAGGATAATGCAGCATGTTATAATATCCAATGTTTTTTCACTCATAAACCGTAAAAACAAATGACTGACTTTTAATCCTCTGGAAAATGTGGTGGAGTGATTGATTGGTCATTTAAACTGACTCTCCTCCACAGTGCCTAGCGCACTTTATATTGATTTGACAATTTCTGTTATCTTAATTATTTCATTTGTTGCTTCATTTATTATTTATTTCAATTTTATTCTGAAGCCCTATGTATTAGTGATGCTTTCATGGTCTATTGTCAGTACCCAGCAGAGGGAGCCATTTCAAAGCGAAAACAAGACATAAAGGTGCTATGTTTGCAGATGTCTCACTGAAAAAGCTGTCCTGTACATTATTATTAGTTGAACTAGTTGCAAAACGAATGATGGGGGTGTTTCACTTTCCAGCTTCCTTAAACCTTATATCTCGCATAACACTAGTATTTCACTGCTTTTACTTCTAAAGCACAACGTCTCATAATTCCCACACCATCTGAAGCATCCACCCTGTCTGCGCTCTCTGTGATTGACATTTTCCGGGTTGCTTTGTGCGGGGATATCGAGCAGCTCACAGCTGGAAACAGCTTTGAACAGAAGAGAAAGCAAGGTCCACGTTTACAGACCAGCTGCCAGGCCAATGCACGAGTGTAAAAAGGGCCAAACTGCCTTGAAACGACCAACCACATGTTAGCATTTTGCTAGCTGGTGTTGCAGCGGTCAGTGAATGGCTACGCAGAGACCAGTGCTGACTCCCCACTCAGGCAAGCTCTTTGTGTTTACTAACACCCATCACGATAAATAACCACTGTGCAGAAATTAGCCTACGTTATTAGCCTCAAAGTTGTGTGAGATGATAGTGTCGTTAACGGTGAGGTACGTATAGCCTAACCAGAGATAGCAATGTGGCCTATCAAAAGATAAGGCCTACATTGTTATTAGTCATGCTGCTGATAGCTTTTAATGATAACTGGTAGCCTGATGCTAAAGCTAACAGTTTGGTTGTATGTGTTAATATGCATGTTCAGTGACACGGTTACGTCTGAGTGGTTTTCTGTGTGATTAGTGCTAATAATTACAAACAAAGGCCATTGATCAGTGCATCAGCAAGACTCCATTATATCAAATATGTCTGCAATGTAAGGCGGGCCGACTCTAGAAACCACTGTCTGTCTACTCAAACTAAGGTAGATTTGTTTTGCATTACCGGTTATATTCATACTTGAGCTTTACAAACCTCAACACCATATCTGAGTGTTGGCATTTTCCCCAAGTTTAGAGGCTTCAAAGCGTACAATCTATCCTTGAAAGTCTATAATGCATAGCTCGTTATAAATAGAGATGGGGAAAGTATTATGCAATACTCGTATACAAGAAGTAGTAATGCGAAGTAAAACTGCTTCACAAGTGAATCCCCTGCATAAACCATTTTAGTGAGGGAAAAGTAAAACAAACATCAGCATAATGTTCCAAAAGTTAAAGTATTGTTTGGAACAGCACTGTCTTGTGCCTTATTGTATAAGCAGCATTGTAATATTGTAGCTGGTGGTGAGGGAGCTCCCTTTGTCTAACAGTTGGGCAGATTATTCTGTAACAAAAAGTCATAATTTATAAAATATCCATGTATTTTTATGAAAATGTCAATATGCTTACTGTTACGCATGTGAAAGTAGTGGTGGCAAATACAATATTTATTTCGGATTATTATGCTTGTAAATCTATAAATCACCTGAAGTGGAAGTACTAGAGTACTTGACTTAATGTGTGGAGTTACTTTCTACCACAGGTTTGGAAAGCTAGGTACATCTTTACCAACAGTCTGCTATAAAATAAATCAAAAATCAACTACGTGGCTATCTTTCTGGACAGGTTTTTAACTAGGCAGCCACTAAAAGGTGTTTTTTTGTAGGAATTCTGACAAAACCAATGTGTGTCAACGGAGCATCAATCTGCCCAGTCAAGTTATACAGATGTCCAGTGACTGCTTTGCAGGCTTCTCTCTGGGTTAATTGTAATGCAGATAGTCACTTTTAAGTTAAAGTGACAAATAGGCAGAGCATGCAGTGTTAACACATTTGTAAAAATACTCTATGTGTTACTGTTTTACTATGTTACATTCTTCTTGTCATTTTTTAATTCACAGACCTTGGACATGGGGAGTAAAATGCCCTTCAGCAGAGGAAGCAGTGACCAAAATCCAGTCGATCAGTTAGCTCCTGCCGCATCGCATCCTCACCAGACCATTCATAACGCTTCGGACTGCAAGCAGGTAGTTATTGAGAGAGCTGTCTGCTGCGGTATACAGCACCATTTCTGGAGTAACCTGCTCATGTGATATGGATGCATTGTCTGTATAACATCTCCCAAACTCTTATTTAAGGACTTTTGTTGTGTTACTTTATATTTTATTTTTTATGACCATCACATTTTGAATATTTAGTTTGGAGTGAAGCATTGTGTTATGTTTATGTTGGTCCTGTAGCATCAAATAAATTAATTCTGGAAATGTTTTTATTATTTTTCACTGGCATGTGATCTTCTCTCGTACACTTTACTGTTTTAGTTTTAAATGCATACAAATAGACATGAACATTATAAAAAAATATATCATTTGGGTTCATACCAATGTATGCATGCCTTTTACTTTATACTATTAGCAACAATACATAACATTTGTGACTAATGACATTTTTTCTTCTTCCAAAGATGCCTGAAGATGAGAGATGCAGTGAGGAAGACCTGGACTCCAGGTGGGGAGAGGAACTGAATCACCCTGCATCTGAATCCCACTCATCGGGGTTCGTGGAGACTGACGGCCGTGTTAACTTTGAAACAGCAGGCGGAACACTTAATCAACACAGTGGACACATATTGCCGCAGGTAGGGATGGAAGCAAAGTCTCAGATGACATCTGCAAATGTGTGCAGTTCTACAACGGACCGTCTTGGGCAGCATGTGGAGACACACATAAAGTCATTGTTGACTAAAGACAATAAATACCCAGATTCTGCTGGTTTTGATGCAGTTCAACATAAGGAGATCAGCACGACAATACCTCTGCCAACATGTTTAGAGAACTACAACAGTAAGGATGTGCCTAATGCTATAGACGGGGCTCCTCGCTGTGTCCTTGTGCTGCCAAAAAGAAAAAGAGGAAGGCCACGAAAAACAGAAATCTCAGCTTATAACGCTATGGTTGCTAAGACTGGTGCCGCTAGTTCTCCTGCTGCTTCGGCTGATGCTTATAATGTAAGCCGCGCTGCACGGACACTGAGGAGTCAAGCTGATCAACACCCTTCGACACAGGATGGAAAGCCTGATTGTGATAGCAAGGAAGACCTCGAGCACAATAGTAACATATTGAACTTTCAAGGTTTTATGAGAAGAAGAGCTAAACAGGCTGATCAGCGGGTTCCAGCAAAAGTGTCCAGACTGGATGTTTCCCAGGAGGCCTGCGCACTGTTGAGCAACCACACAGGCTGTGGGGAGGGGGCTGAGACAGATAAGCAGGTGGGAATTAACACAGACAAGCAAGAGGCCTGTACAGATGAGAGGACCTGTTACCTCTCCCTGCAGTCTGGAGGAGAGCAGCAGACAGAGCCTGAAGTTATTCCTTCAAAGCGTTTGAACGTGGTAGGCCCAACTTCAGGAAACATGAATGACAGGGAGGAATTACAATCCAAAAGCACATTTGAATCACAAAATATTGAAGCCTTACAGAAAACAGTAGCCGTAACAAACTCTCAAATACCTAAACCTGTAAGTGTGCCCCCTGCTGTGAAAGCTGAGAAAATTGAAATTGAGCTGGATCCTTTAAATCCTATGTCAAATAGTCTTGAATCTTTACATTGCAATGCCAGCACCACAGCTGAGAGTCCAAACTACTATTTCAGGCGCAGGAGAGGCGGCAAGAGAAGGAGGAGAATGGGTAATGTTTTGTTGCAGAGAGAATCGCTTGTACAGGGCCAAACAGGAAGTGATGACACCAAGGACGCCAACTCAAATATCAGCTACATTAAAAAAGGAGGGAAAATGTTGATGAAATGTGGTTACTGTGAGCAAACATTTAAATTTCATTCTCAGTTCGTCATCCATCAACGCATTCATACAGGAGAACGACCTTTCAAATGCTCTGAATGTGGAAAAGGTTTTAGCAAAAATTCCAACTTAAATCTTCATCTCAAGACGCACAATAAGAGCAACTTATATAAAAAATGTCCATTTTGCAAGATCAAATTCTCTTGCTCGGAGTATGCCGCTCATATGAGAGAGCATGCACACAACCAGGACTTTGAGGACACCAGATCTGAAAGAAGCAGCAGAGGGAACCACCAGGAAAAGAGTCAGGGGTGTCAGAGACACGTTTCCCCCGAAGAGAAAGAGAAAAAAGAGTGCCAGTACTGTGGTAAAACATTCCCGTTTCAGTCTGCCCTCATCAGACATGTGCGGGCCCACACTGGAGAGAAGCCTTATAAATGTGACATATGTGGCAAAGCTTTCGGTCAGGCGTATTTCCTCCGAGTTCATGAGCTGACACACTGGTCTGTGAAGCGTTACAACTGTACCCGCTGTGAGAAATCATTCACTCATTACAGCAATGCTAAAAATCACACCTGTAGACCCTCGGAAAGCAGTGACGAATCACAACCCGACAGTCGTCTAAAGTCTTCACTAACGTACACGTGCCACATCTGCAAGAATATTTTTGACCATCTGCAGGAGTTCAACAGCCATATGAGACAACACACCGGCGCAAAGCTGTATCGCTGCTTGTATTGCGACAAGCTGTTTGGTGTGCTGTCTGGATTTAACGCCCATCGCAGTCACTGCAGAGGAGAGAAGAATAACACCTCCAGCTTCGAGATAAAAGCAGAAGAAACAATGTCATTAATTCAGTACAAGGTGCCTGCACTAAGGTGTGCAGCAGGACACAATTCAGCTTCTCCACTCACTGCTGGAAATTGTGAAACACTCAAAAAGACATCGGCCGCCAGCCCCAAGAAACACCTTGCTAAAGTAAGAAAATGTTTCCAGTCGACAGTCGTACCGGCTCAACAACTCTCACACTTTGTGTCAAAGTTAAATAAACTTGATAACGGCTCAGACCCCAGGAAATATTTTTGTCCAAGCTGCGGGCGGCTGTTCAGACACATGGGCCGACTCCGAGCCCACATGCTCACCCATGGCCCGGGTCAAAGTTACACCTGCTCCTGCTGCGGCAAGACTCTAAAAAACTGGAATAAACTTTGGCTTCATCAGAGAATCCACCGACAGAGACGCGGCCGTTTTACTTGTCCCCAGTGCGGGAAAGGTTTTCGGTTTGTGGGAACATACAAAAAACACATGAGGGAACACGCAGAGGTGCAGTGGGTTCCGTTCAGGCCCAAAAAAACGTTTCGGCCTTATGAATGTGATGAGTGCAGGTGCAGCTTTAAGACTCTAGATTTGCTGTTCAGTCACCAGATTTGCCATAACTCAATGCAAAAGGACTCTGATTTTGATTTAATCATAGTCATAGATGATAGCACTACACAGTTCACCAAGAGCAACCACGAAGCTACATTAAGCCCAGATCCTGAATTAAACAACTCTTTTCTTGGCCCTGTATCCCAATGTCCAGTAACTCAAGAGTTTCCTCTAGCGCCAATGACTTCCTCGATCCAAAGTAAGCATCTGGATTTGGGTAAGAGTACCCAGCAACAGAGCAGCACACATTGTATCCAAGACAGAGAAACCAGTTGGGACAGAATAGATGAAAATGCACTTGAGAAACCAATTACTCCTTTGAAAACTGTGAAAAGACATGTAAGCCAAAATGCCAGCACATCACATGAAGGGTCTGCAGATGGTATTAAGTGTGCTGTGTGCAGTAATGCATATCCTGCAATTTCAGACCTCTATCACCATTATTTGCAGCATGCTAGAGGCCAGCTGTAATAACCTAAACAGAGACACAATGCACTGTATGTGTTTATACTTTTTTTAATACATTGTTTAACAGGGGCTTCTTTTGTCCTAGATCAGAAAAGATTGTCATTTACCCACATGGTAAGGTTATAGGAAATATAATGCAGCAAAATCAAAATCAAATTTTTTTCAGAGACATTGATGTACATTTGTTTTGTTCTGTTCTCCAACAGGGACACCTCTTAGCATAATGTATTAACATTGAAAGTGAATATATCCGTTTAACTCTCACACACATTTTTCATTATCAAATTGACATAGGAGTTTTCTCCATTATGGACTTGTAATATTATGAAAGCTGAAATGAAGTTTTGCTCAATATTCTAAAGATATTTACTCACAAACACACATTTGACACCTGCAACAGGAATTGTTGTTGAACATCCATATTTTTGTACTGCCTTTGAAAAAATATATGTTCCTGCTTGAATGTCAGGTTTGATTTTGGTATAATCTTGAAAATCTGTTCAATGTGTTTCCAAGATACTCCGTGTATATGGTTGTATGCTATAGTTAGTCTTAAAACTAATAAAGGTCATTTTTGTATCTCTATGTGATCATGTCTGTCAAACTTGGGTCCAAATGTTGAACGCTTTATAAAATAAGACTTCCATAGGATCCTGAAATCCAGAGATATTAGATAAGAGGGTTATAGCAAGGCTCAAATATCAGTTATATGTATTACCTGTAGTCTAAAGATCTGTACGTTTGTTAGCAATCAAGACAATTTGTTTCGGCAACATTTTAAGTAATGAGTTTGAGCAGAATATGTATACGTCTGCCAAGAAATCAAATAGAAGAATAATTGTTGTTATGTTTATTTATTAAAGGGATATACAGCTTTCTGATTTACAATAAATGACTGTGAAGTGACTTTAGTTGGAGGACATGGTGTTGCGAATCCAGGAGTTGTAGTTGCAGACCTTGGCGTACACTCCGGGCTTGTTCCTCTCGGCGCAGCCATAACCCCAGGACACCACTCCCTGCAGCTGACCGTTGCACACCACGGGGCCTCCAGAGTCTCCCTGAGAGCACGCAGAGAGAAAGGACAACATGTGAGCACAGCTTATCTGAAGTTGGCTGTGTTGGCTTTAGGAAACTGTAACTGTTTCTCGTACCTGGCAGGAGTCCTTGCCTCCCTCGAGGAATCCGGCACAGAACATGTTGGAGGTGATCTGTCCAGGGTAGGCGGACCTGCAGCTGCTGTCGCTCAGGATGGGGGCATCCAGGCACCTCAGACGATCAGGGTAGTTGCCTAGAGAGGAACAAAGTCAATACATGTGGTGTTCATACTCAAACATGTAGCAAAACTGTCTTCCAGGTGTGACTGCAGTGAGTTACTGACTTCCAGAGCCGCTGGTGTTGCCCCATCCAGAGATCAGGCAGCGGGTGCCAGAGCCGGCACAGCTGGAAGGCAGGGACACGGTGCGGACGTAGCTGTTCAGGGAGGCTGGGGTGCTCAGCTTGATCAGCATGATGTCATTGTCCAGGTTGCGGCTGTTGTAGCTGGGATGACGGATGACCTTGGCAGAGTTGATGAACTGCTCAGTGCCCTCATTGACGGCAATGTTGTGCTCACCCAGACGCACCTGCACGCGGCTGCAGAGAGAGGCAGGGTTCAAAGGCATGTAAGTAATGTGACATTGCACCTTTAATGATTACAATTCAAAGGTTTAAATATGTTGCAAAATAGCTACAGCGTAAGTTTGGCAATGTACATCTTAAGTCTAAGGCTCCTCCAACAAGCTATGATACACATTACATAACATCAAAGTAAAAGACATAAAAGAGTGCAATAAAATGCGAAGGGTCCATGTAAATTGCAGGATTAAGAAACTTGAGTTCATATAAAATAAATCAGCATAAACCAACAATAATGTAATACATAGGGAAATAAGAATAGTTTATCACATACATTAAGAAATATATGGGATAAACACATGTACAAATGAACAGTTGAATATAAAGAGGCATGTATGCACTTAAAAAAAAAAAGGGTTTGCAGCAGCTTTCTATTGTAAAATTATGCAATCCTTTTTCAAATGTGTGTACTTACGACTTGTAGCAGTGAGCAGCAGACAGCACCCAGGTGCTGGAGATCAGGGAGGCTCCACAGAAGTGGTAGCCAGAGTTCAGAGAGACCTGGTACTGCACAGAGTTCTTTCTGCACTCGTAGCCGCCAACAATCTTGTCATCCTCAATGGGAGCAGCATCTGGTAAAGAATTAAGCAGAGTTGATGTTATCTTTTCAAAGATATTTTGAAGGGAAATAACTCCATAGTCATAGTGTCGAAAATGTTTGAAATCACTTCAACATGACTTTAGTCTTCATACTTACATGCCACTGTGAACAGGGCCAGAAGAATGAAAGCCTTCATGATGATGTCGGTGTGTGAGCTCAGGTTCACAGCAGGCCCTTTTAAACCCGCTATGCAATCGTATTGACCAATCACATGTATTTTCTTTATCTCTCTGGTGTGTGAAAGCCCACCTGGAAGACGAGAGCCAGCATATTGATGACGAGAGTTTAAGTTCCACCTACACTCCAAGCACAAGCGTATGTATAAACCCTCAAAGCCAATGTGCCTGATTTCATGTATATACCTAGAAATATATTTCAGCAACAGAATTGATTTTATTGGTATTCAAAGCAGACATGTATTTCATTTCAAATGTCTGCTTCTTGCTCTCAGTTTTTTTTCATAAACCATGGTCAGGCACAAGTTGTCCCCTATTCAAAGAAATAGCTTTCAAAGAAATGTGTGTCAATTGCCTGTGGTATTTTAGGTTATATAAGTACCATGAATTCAATGCAAGGGGTGATTTGGTTTAATATGAATATAGAGATCCATAAGAGCCTTTAATAGTTTGCAGCAGATTAAATCAAAATTACAATTTCAAAATAACACAAAAGGTTATTTACCTTGGGATACATATTACGAAAATGATTGTGTTTTAAAAGCTGATATTTGAGTTTACAAGAAGCTTCTTTGATTAAATTTCCCCTTTATTAAACTGAATGGGACGTTGCGTACAATTTGAGTTGCATCTGCCTAACACATAAGGAAATAATGTGTATGTATCATAATAAATTATTTCAATGCATTACTAAACAGTTTCTATAATTAGAATGGATTAAATACCAAACTTAACTCAAAATGCACTTATACAATTTTTTGAAACTGAAGTTTTTGGCCACTTTTAACATAAACAGTACATTGGAAAACCAAAAACCTTTGGATTCAATGGCATTCTTTTTTCCCTCTATTTTACTAATTATATGGATAGACACGTGTAGTGAATAACATCCCAAACTATATTTTTTTAACAGAGTATTGTTTACATTTAAATGCAAATCACAAATACCTGGCAACAAAGTGGCAATATGCCTTTGTGTTTAAATATTACCATTATGTTTAGTTTTATCTCAATTATTTAAGCTTTGTGTTAGACACTTCATTTGAAACTCCAGCTCAGGTTTAGTATAGAGCCTAGTGGCTTGTTGTATTGAAATTGTTAATGAGTACTTGAGTAATACAACCACCCTACTATTCAGACATATGCCAAGTTAATGCATTAGTATATTATACCTTTTGAACACACTTTAGATCTCAACGCTTAGTAATCATGGAAAAGAAACAGAGACATCAAACAAATATTATGGAAAATATATGTATTACACACAACATAAAGGTGGGGTATGTAATTTATTTCAGAAACACTTTTTGTTATATTCCATGGAATGCTCTTAACATCCCGATAGCAATGAATACATTAAATGCTTTGACAATAAATACATAAAAAAATGTCATCTGTGGAAGCCGTAGCGCTGTAAAAAGCACGACCAATCATTTTAGCCGGCCCTGCTAAAATAACTGGATGGCCTACCTGCCTGTCAGCCTTCCATCTGTGCACAAACTTATCTCATGCCCTCATTGGTCATGTGCGCGTTCGTGTGTGTTGGAGGAGGGGCTCTGCTGCGTAGTTTCAAATTATGTAATTTTGAAGAAACCAGCTCGAGTGCGCTAGAATTTGAAAGTACACAACCGGAAAAAATCTGCATCTTCCTTCAGACTTCCTTACAGTGCCCCTCCTTCAACACACACGAACGCGCACATGACCAATGAGGGCACGAGATAAGTTTGTGCACAGATGGAAGGCTGACAGGCAGGTAGGTCATCCAGTTATTTTAGCCGGGCCGGCTAAAATAATTGGTCGTGCTTTTTACAGCGCTACGGCTTCCACAGATTAAATATTTTTATGTATTTATTGTCAAAGCATTTAATATATTCATTGCTATCGGGATGTTAAGAGCATTCCATGGAATACAACAAAAAGTGTTTCTGAAATAAATTACATACCCCACCTTTAACTTCACAATGTGTACACGGTGTCTCTGTGAAATATTGTTGGTATTTTAAAACCCATGTTCCATCTGTGTAACAAACCATTGAGCTGCAGGTATTGTGAATCCAGGAAGTGGCAGACCGTGTTGACTTATGTGGTTGTGTAATGTCTGAGAAGAGACATCTGGAAGACGAGAGTCAACATATCGATAAAGTGAGCTCTAGTCCCACCCCAAGTCACGTACACTTTATGTAAGATGTGCACTTATCGATCAAAAATCATAAGCAAGATAATATATATATATATATATATATATATATATATATATATATATATATATATATATATATATATATATATATATATATATATATATATATATATATATATATATATATATATAAATACTGCATTCATGTCAAGAACATGATTTAGTTGTTAAAGGGGAAAGTATTAATTGTCTCATATTTTGCAATTGTTATACTTGTTGATGTTGTGATGACCCATACATTGATTGTTAATGTAAAATATATGTATACATACATTATTTAAGAATGGAAGACACGCTATCTAGAAATTGTTCATTTTATTTCACAATGTCTCTGATTTTGGTAAAAATTATTTAATCGTGTGCCAGTTTTATTGGTTATTGAGATTTAAGCAGGGTTTCAGATTTATTTGACATTAATCTTTTATTCATTTTAAGGTTAATCCCTATTTCACTTCTTTTACTCCCAGCTGATTCTCTTTAATTCTATTTATCAAAAAGCAAATAACAAGGAACAACAGAGAGTGAGCTTCATATTTGTTTATTATTCAGTCATTAATTTTTCTCAAAACAGATGTCAAAGTTCCTGAGATAAAGGTTTCTTGCAGTGAAGTGACTTTAGTTGGAGGACATGGTGTTGCGAATCCAGGAGTTGTAGTTGCAGACCTTGGCGTACACTCCGGGCTTGTTCCTCTCGGCGCAGCCATAACCCCAGGACACCACTCCCTGCAGCTGACCGTTGCACACCACGGGGCCTCCAGAGTCTCCCTGAGAGCACGCAGAGAGAAAGGACAACATGTGAGCACAGCTGATCTGAAGTTGGCTGTGTTGGCTTTAGGAAACTGTAACTGTTTCTCGTACCTGGCAGGAGTCCTTGCCTCCCTCGAGGAATCCGGCACAGAACATGTTGGAGGTGATCTGTCCAGGGTAGGCGGACCTGCAGCTGCTATCGCTCAGGATGGGGGCATCCAGGCACCTCAGACGATCAGGGTAGTTGCCTAGAGAGGAACAAAGTCAATACATGTGGTGTTCATACTCAAACATGTAGCAAAACTGTCTTCCAGGTGTGACTGCAGTGAGTTACTGACTTCCAGAGCTGCTGGTGTTGCCCCATCCAGAGATCAGGCAGCGGGTGCCAGAGCCGGCACAGCTGGAAGGCAGGGACACAGTGCGGACGTAGCTGTTCAGGGAGGCTGGGGTGCTCAGCTTGATCAGCATGATGTCATTGTCCAGGTTGCGGCTGTTGTAGCTGGGATGACGGATGACCTTGGCAGAGTTGATGAACTGCTCAGTGCCCTCATTGACGGCAATGTTGTGCTCACCCAGACGCACCTGCACGCGGCTGCAGAGAGAGGCAGGATTAAGTAAGTTGACAATACAACTTATTGAGGTAGTTTACGCTTTTTAAGGATTTAGATAAAAAGCTTTGCCGCAGTTTTATGTTGAGAAAGTATTTTATCTTAAATCAAATGTGTGCCCTTACGACTTGTAGCAGTGAGCAGCAGACAGCACCCAGGTGCTGGAGATCAGGGAGGCTCCACAGAAGTGGTAGCCAGAGTTCAGAGAGACCTGGTACTGCACAGAGTTCTTTCTGCACTCGTAGCCGCCAACAATCTTGTCATCCTCAATGGGAGCAGCATCTGAAACATAAACCGTGTAAAACTATTTAAAGAGCCTAAATCACACTTCTTAAAATTACACAAACAAAATAAATTGAATGTAAAAGATTATAAACACAATATGCAAGAACTTACAGGCTGCAGCGAGCAAGGCGAGGAGAATAAAGTACTTCATTATGTACTGATTAGTCTACATACCGCAGGAGCAGATGCAGTGGGTTTCTATACTGTACAGCTGCAGGCAGACCACTCTTTATCTTACTCGCTCGTGGATTTTTCCATGCACCTTGCACAATGATTAAACATTATCCCACCTGGGAAACAGCAGCATGGTCAAAGAGAAAAACACCTAGAATTTCAGTTCATAACTTTTTCAGTTAACAGATATGGATACATATGCAACACTCAACCTTGCTAGCTTTATATTACAACTATGTATTATATTTTGGTAGTAATGCACATGTTGTACAGAGCCTGTATTGCTATAGGTGGAGGGGACACATAATAAACAAAAAAATGTTTCATGTTTAGCGCCAGAGTCCATACATTTTTCAAAAATAATATAGTTTTTATATTTGTTATCACATTTTATTTTTAATGACTTTGTATACTGCAGGGTAACTTTTGAATTGACTCCAGGTGTAACTAAAGTCTTATTTAAGTGTTGATTATATTTCATATCAATCATTAATCCAAGTCTGCAAAGTAACTAAAGGTAATAAATAGATGTAGTGGAGTAAAAGTACACCATTTACTTCTGAATTGTATTGGATTAGAAGTACAAAGTAGCAAAAGATTGAAATACTCAAGTAAAGTGTTTCAAAATTATAAATGTACTCAGTTACTCCCAACCTCTGATTGCTTGTTTGAAGTAAATATGTCTATGGTTTATTTATTGTAAGTCGCTTTGGATAAAAGCTCAGCTAAATGCTATGTAATGTAATGTAATTATTTATGTGACCCTTTAATTATGTATGTATACACATATGGATATTTCTAATATATCCATTAGAAATAAAGTGAAATGTGGTTTTCTATTGGTCCATTTCATTTTATGTTGGTGTACTTTTCCAAAAACTCTAAATAGCCGCTTTGAAAATCTAAAATGTTTGTCCATTTAGGTATTTTCAAAATAAAATAAAAATATCAGTGACATAAAGCATGACCATTTTACGTCTTTTTCTAGATACAATAATACATGTGGAATACAATAGGTACAACAATAATAATTCATATTCAGATTAAACCTTTCTCTCCGACCTGATTGGTCCTGAACATCAGCCCCACCGTGACGTCCAAAATAAGCGACTGTCTTCGGTTTGTGTATCGGTTGCTGAGCTAACAGCTGCACCAATTGTGTTTTGATTTTGTTTTGCCTCCCATGTGCAGTTATCATGAGGTAAGGATCACAACAGCGTGGGCTGTCATGTCATGTCTGCTCGCTGCTCGCTGCTTGTTCAGGCTACAGCTTTACATTTAAACTGTGTTTCCCTGTTAGCTAGCAGCTAGCATTGCAAGATCAGCACCTAATGTATGCGGAATGCGCAACCATTGCGGATGTGGTGCAGAAAAAAATGCGCATCGATGCGACAGAATAAAGACGTCAACTTCGGTGATACAAAACTGTTTTAAAATGCTTCACAGTTGTAAGCAGTGTTATGTTTTGTTGTTGTATTTCAGCTCTGGAGGATATTCTCTGCCTTGAAGGAACACTGTATGACAGCTGGACTTATAGATGTAGCTCTTAGCCTGCTTTAGGTGTTTTTACACCGTGTATATGTTCTTAGTGACATATCACTATAAATAAAGATGATATGGGAATTGGATTTAAGTGGCTGCAGCTAGCCATAAAAGTCTCTTGACTCTTAGTAAACAATATGATTGTATCTCAATCAAGCTGCAACAATGACTTGATTGATTTGAAGAATACTGTTAAAAATAACACTTTAACTCTTTATTTCCCTAAGAAATTAACTAAAGACAAATCCTTATTATCTGATGCAGTATACTGAAGAGTTGCAATGTCTTCAGCAGTAGGCTTAGTAACACATTGAACTTGTGTTAATGGAGCAACAGCTGCCAGTATCAGAATTGGCCCACCAGTCAGTTCTGCTGTAAATCAGGTCTGACCCATGACTGAGTACTACGAGGAGGGGGGGCTGCTGTACGAGCAATCACCTCCCATGCACATCAAAGTGGAGTCTCCGGAGGGACCCTTTGGAGGGGGAGCCTCAGAAAACGGCTTCCCCAGGGAGGATGATGACTCCGAGGGCAGCTGTGACCAGAGCAGTGGCTTGCCTGGAGGACTCCCCTTCAACGTGGTAGTGGTGCATCCCAACATCATGGCACCCGGCATGTCCTCAGACGACCTCTTGTCTATTGAACAAAGTAAGCCTGAGATTAAGAACTGTATTGGAAGCTGGATTTCATGTTTCCTTGCTTATGTGCACATTTCTGCAGAGCATGTGGTTCTTATTGACCATAGTTAACATGAAATGCTTTTTCAGCAGTATATTAAAGCACAGGCCAAGATACAAAGTAATACACACTATCTATGTAAACAGCCACGGCATTTTAAACATTTAGATCCGACATTATCACTGAAAGAAGATTGGATAAATATTGACGTTTATGCTCCATATCTTTCCAAAAGTAGTAATATAAGAGTGATTTTGGCTTAGCAAAGTGGAAATAGGGCTGACACTGTTAAAGCACATGTCTCTTCTTCACATTCATCTTCACTTGAAACTTTTTTCTTTCCCTTTTGGGCTGTCCTCTCACCACTTTTTCTTAACAGACAGAGCTATGTCAGCTGCGCTGGCTGCTGGTGGTGCAGGAAAAAGAAAGAGTCGTTTCAGTGGAGCAGAGCTGGAGGTGTTGGTGTCAGAAGTCACTCGGTGTGAAGGGGAGCTCTTTGGTCCTGCAGGGAGACTCCGGCGGCGGGAGAGAGAGCGCATCTGGGCAGGCATCCTAGAGAGAGTCAACGCCGTGTCCAGAGTCCCACGCACACTTCGAGAGGTGAAGAAGCGCTGGGACGACCTAAAGAGACGCAACGGAGGCCGTCTGGCTGATGCCCGGCACCGCACCTGTTACCTGCCATCCAGCAGAGGAGCTTCGATGCTTGGCCGTCCTTCACAGTCTAGCCCCAGGCTTCAGCATGGCCGGCAAAAGCAAAGCACCAGACCAAAGCCCAGTTTCCCATGCTTCCCTGACTCTGATACAGGTGAAATATGAGTATTTTTCTTTGAAGATTCTCGAGATGCAACTAACATCTACTCAGGTCTAATTACAATATTTCTTTGCAGGTGTTGGTGGTGAAGGGTCAGAGAGAGATGCTTTGGACAAAGACGAAGACAATCCTGAGCGTGACAAAGAGATGGGAGAATCTGAGTGTGAACCAGTAGAGAACAGCATGGAAGAAAAGTTGGGATTAGGGCTTGGTCTGGGCATAGGACCCCCACCTCCTTCAGAACGATGGCTGCCTCCTTCCCCCCTCTACAGTGCTCCTTTCCTCAATGGCAGCCCCCAGCCCAGTAGTCCTCAGCCATCACTCGGAGCACAGCAGGGGCCTCTTGAAGAACCTCCGCGCAGCTCCTGGCTTGAAGATGAGCTTCGAGGGTTAGGGGAGGCAGCAATTCAACTGGGAAATCGGGTAGAGAAGAGCCTGCTGGAGTTTGGGGAAGGTTTCCGACAGGACATCAGAACACTTGTTGCTTCACAAGAGACACTAGCAGGCAGTCTACAACAAAACAATGTCCTCTTGCAAAGGCTTTTAGGAGTGCTTGAGGCCCAGCAGCAGCCACAACAACATCGTGTTCAACAAGCACACCAGACGCAAACATTGCAACAGCCCTTACAGCCACAAGCCGCTCAGCAGCTACAACACACAGAACCACCGCAGCCTCAACAACAGCGGATTGAAGCACCACTGCAAACACAACATCAGCAGCAGCCACTGGTGGTACATCAGCAGCAGCCACTGGTGGTACATCAGCAGCAGCCACTGGTGGTACAACAACAGCAGCAAACGCAAATACAGCAGCAGCCACAAGTCCCCCAGCAACCAACTAATCAGACAACTGTGGCTGTAGTTCCTGCATCATCATCCCCTGAAGAACTTGGCACTTTTCCTTTGGAAGCACCCACAAACACAAACAGAAGTGTGCAGAGGCCAAGGCGAGGAAGAGCTGTTGATCACAGGCGCAGAAGACGGCGCTGATGAGAAAGCATTTAGAAACTCAAAGTGGACATCATGCATAGTTGGTGTTCCAAAAATGTGACAAGATGTCAGGCTCTTTTTCTATTGACTGTATCTCTGTAAAAAATATAATATATGAGTTTTACGTCCCACTTCAAATCCATCTTGCACTTAAGTTTGTCTTCAGAGAGGACTGAAATCCATAAGAAAATAACACATGTGATAATATGGTGGCCTTAACATTAGCTTGGTTCTTGAGAATATGATGAAAGACTTCCTGAAAAACAGCAGCTCTTTGGATTGACATTTTCATGAGACTGAAAAACCAGACAAGACATACTATAGGATCTGATGCTTATTATGCATGTCATTATTGCAGCCGAACTGACACTCTTACTAGTTTAGCACTGTCTCAATTCTCCTGATTCACTAACTACATCGTCATAGAGTACTTGTAATCTGCAGTTGCCATATATGGTAGTCAAACAGCTATTGTACTTACCTGCTAATGTATGCTTTTGCTTTTTAACAGTTCACTGGAAAATAATGTATTTTCCAGCTTTGGTTGGACAATAAACTTAGACTGTGTTCTGTTTGGTGTGTTTCGAGACAAGTGTTACATTAAGTCTATCACATTTTTGGTTAAAAACTGAAATACCTTCCGGCATAAACATCACAGTAGGCATCAGACTTTAATTCGTATGTTTCTGGTGGAATATAAGAGCATACATAAGTGTGTACGGGATATTTATTCTATTCTTGCATGCAGTACGATGAATGTGTTTGTAGATAGTCGCAAAGAAACAGCATATGGCCATCATCTACGTAGTTTTGCACAATATATATATTTTGTAGATAGTGACTGTTCCAATGAAATGTAACTAAACTTTAATAAAAGTCAGACATGGACTTCAAAATAAATCCAGCTGATCACTTGTGGATTTGTGATTATAGCCTATAAAAAAAAAGTGTATTTAATGTTGAAGTTTATTTATGTTGTTACGAAGGTGTTTGGTGTAACAACAAAGACGGCAGTAGTAGAAAACGGAAATTATAAACTTAAAGTTTCTAATTATATTTTAAGAAATGATGAAGCACAGATGGTTGTCAATAATGGGTCTTTTATTTTGAAAATGTCAACCGGAAGTGTCATTACTTTTTCATGCTGGCTACATGAGCATGATCCTGGATAGGGGGGTGCATGGGTGAAACATGGCCGACCCATCGGAGTCTCCCAAACGACCGAAATCCCCTGCGGAGGAGGTGGACACATCTGGGGGGAAGACCGAGGCCGAGGATACAGGATGCATCTCAAATCCGATGGATGAAGAGACACACAATGATCCCGCTGAGAGCCCCGACACTGAGCAGAGACCCAGCGTGGGGAGAGACGGTAGTGCCCGCCATCCTGAGGTTAGTGTCGAGTCCGGGGCTGGAGCCGGAAAAAATACATGTAATCCAGCAGAGCAGGCGGAAAAAATGGCCGAGGCTCGTGTAAACGACCAGCCGTTTTACGTCTGGTCCGAAACGGAAGACGGCGATGCAGAGGAGAAAATACACATGGATGCAGATGATAAGTGTGGTATGCTCACGTTTGTTAATGTTTTTTAACTGTTAGCTTTAGCCTGCAGGCTAACCTGAGCGCTCATTGCCGCTTCAACTATGCTATGTTAATTACCATAACAAAATATGCTAGCATCCTGCTAAATAAGATGTGATCTGCTTAGATGGATAGCTGTGTTGGTTGCATGCAATTTGTGAGTTCAGCTACAGATATGTTGTTTACTTTTTTTCACACATACACTTTGTTGTATTTATTAATTTGTTTTATTCCACTTTGGGCAATTATTATAAAACAAAATGGGCACACAGGTTTTTTTGTAGCCCATATTGGAAAGGAGCGTCATCAATTTGTATTGTGTTTTTTCTCTTGCAGACCCCAAAAATGTACCAGAGAGTGATGGAGGGGTGCAGCAAGATACACATGTTGATGATAATATTAAAAAGGATGCAACTGAGGAGAAAACACCCCATCCTGATGAGAAGAGCCAAGAGAAGCGACTGACTGAGGAACCTGTGGAAGAAGTTATCAAGAGAGTGGGTGTAATTGATGAAGAGGCAGACCAAGACGATAGTGCTAATTTGACAGTTAAACCCAAAAAGGGCCGTTTGCAGTGCAAAGAGTGTGGCAAGAGATTCACCCGGCGCGAGACCTTCAACCTTCACCGTCACTTTCACGCACATGAGGATGAGCTCACTCCACTCACCTGTAAAGAATGCGGCCTTACCTTTCAGCACCGCAGAAGCCTCATCAAACACAAAATTGAACACAAAAAGAAGGAGGAACAGCTTGCTTCTCCAAAAAAGGAGGAGGGTACATTTAAATGTGCAGAATGTGAGAAGGTGTTCTCCACAGTGGATAAGCTGAGGGACCACAACTGCTGCAATACAGCTGAAAAGCCTTTCCGCTGCCCCCTGTGCCGCCAAGAGTTCCAGCTAAAGATGGCGGTCACCAAGCACATGGTGCTCCACTCCTGTGATAGCATCTATACATGCCAAGAGTGCAGCCTAAGTTTCCCAGACAACATGGCACTGCGCTACCACAGGCGATCTCACACCGGCCTGAAACCCTATGAATGCCCAGAATGCGGCTTGGTTTTTAAACACTACTCTGTCATGGAAGATCACCGCCGCAAGCACGCGGATAATGCACGCTCTCACTTGTGCAACATCTGCGGCAAGACTTTCAAGTACAGCAGCCTCCTCCATCAACATCAGTATCTGCACACAGGCCAGAAGCCCTTCCGCTGCCCTGAATGTGGTAAAACATTTGCCTTTGCACAAAACATGAAGGCACACTGCCGCCAGCACAGACTGCGCCAAACCAACTCCTCAACTGAGCAGCCCAGCAAGCCGGCGTCCGCACAGGAGGCAGGGAGAGGGCCGGGTAAAGAGAACAAACACCAGAGCGAGGAACAAAAAGGCACATTCAACTGCCCCCTCTGTCCCCTGACATACCTAATACCAGCTGACTTGAGAGCCCACATGCTTATTCACGAAGCCGAGTATGAAACGCTGGAGAGAACCCCCAGACCCCCAAATGGGAAAAGCAACCATTGGGACATAGGATACACCTGTCCCCACTGCCCAAGCATTTTTCGTGAGGAAGCCAGTTTAGATCGTCATATTAGGAGTGGACACGATTCTGTAGCTAAATATTTAGAAAAGGCGGCAACACCGCCTCAAATTCAATATACTCCATTAAGCAGTGATAATGTACAGGGGAAAAAGGCAAGTGATGGCGTAATCAATACGTTTAAGTGTTTAGAGTGTGGTAGAACCTTCCGCCACTCCTCAGTGTTAGAGCTGCATATTCGCGTACATTCCAAGGACAGGCCTTACAAGTGCAGAGTGTGTGGCAAGGGCTTTAGATTTAGTAGCTACTTACAGCAACATCTCATCATCCATACAGGCAATAAGCCATACACATGTCCAGACTGTGGAAAGAAATTTGCTTTCCAGCAGAACATGAAAACGCATCAAAAGCTGCATCAGGAAAAACCGTTCCGCTGCACCAGCTGCCGCAAAGGCTACAGCGACGAGACCCAACTGCAGCATCATATGTTATCACACAATGGTGACAAACCTCACAAGTGTAACCAGTGTGACAAGAGCTTTGGGTTAGCCTATCTGCTCCGGGATCACATTAACACACACACAGGGGAGAGACCTCATCGATGTGATGAGTGTCACAAAACTTTTTCTTGGCTTAGTAGCCTGCTAGTACACCAAAAGATCCATTCTCGCAAACACCAGGGTTTGAACCAGTATAATTCTTTCCCGATGGGTGCTAGGATTAGAGGCAGGGGTAGCAGGGGGAGGAGAGGGGGGACCCACAGGTCCGAACCAGTGGGGAGCTCTGGGCCTCAGCTGTCTCCGTATTCAGTTTCTGCACTGAGCGATGCCGAGTTGAACAGAAGGGTGGTCCAGCCACAGGAGTCGATGCTCTCGTCACACATGGATGTACAAAAGGAGCCGTGGCTGCCAGAGCTACACCCACAACCAGTGCAGTGGAAGGTGGATGGCGGAGAGGTAATGCCTGTACCACAGCAGCAACACGCAGCACCTCAGCAGAACCAGTTTGACAGCCAATCAAATCAGGGTCAGCAGCAGCACCATCAGAGAGGTCCAGACTGGCCCGATAGCCCTTTGATAACTCAGTCAGGCCCCACATCTGCTCTGAGTTCCGAGTCATCTCACATGATGGACAGTGCACCTGCTATTGTCAGCTCCCACATGGTAGCTGTGCCAAAAAAATCCAGCCCTTCCACAGTGAGTGAGATAGAGCAGCAAAGGCTGCCCAAGCCCGTTATTTGGAGTAGCCCGCCCACCTCCACAGTGCTGGCTTCCACAAGCTCTCTGCAACATGGTTTTTCTACTCCGTTGTCTTTCATAGACGGCAGGGCTCTGTGGAGCATCAGACCTGCTCTTCTGGCAAATTCACAAAGCTCTCCAAATAAGCTGGGTCAAGAGCTTCAACTACCAATATGGGCAGGTGTCCCAGTGTCAATACAAAAGGAGCCATCCACACATACTAAAAAAGAGGACACTAGAGTGTGGGACCTAATTAATCCTCAAGTTATACCGTCGACTGTTATTCATCCAGAGAAGCCATGGAACGGCTGTGAGCTGCCAAAGCAGTGGGTTTCAGGCTTACCAGGTGTCTCCACCTCAGCTCAGATAGACCAAAGCAGTGCTATGCCAATTTCAACTCCTGTTTCCCACGGGGTAGGTAGCACCTTGTGGGACTTACAGACACCACCAGGAATTCCAAAGACTATAAACCCTGAAAAATTTGTAAATGCTCAAGATTTTCAGCTGCAGCAAAAGCAGGTGTCATCCGCCTGGGCCAATGTGCAGAGTCAGACAACGACACAAAAGGTTCCGCTCTCTATTCAATACGAGCCTCATCGTTTTGGCCAGGGGTTGGGAACGCATGTATGGGGCTTCCAAAGTAATCAAACGCTGCTCACTGGGCAACTTAAACCAGGGACTGGACAGGAGCTGCAGCAACAGCCAATGGTAACAGCCACTCAAATAATCATAAATCAGCCTTCTCCTTTCTTCTCGGCTCCCCTTGCTCCGCTCCCTCCTCTCGCTCTACCTGGCCCACACCCTCTTCACTCTGTCGCAGTTGGCTCACTCTCAAGACCTCCACACCCAAATATTTTTTTTGCACCACAGGCAGTAATGAGCGAGAGGCCACACATGCCACAGACCCTGCCCCTACCTCAGCTCGCCCAACGGACAGAAACTCACAAACTTGGCTCCCGTTTGCCTTTTGCCCAAGAACGGCTTCTCCAGTGCATGATATGCGGGTGCTCTCTTCCCCGGGAGCTGGATCTACAAATGCATTACATGCAACATGCACAAGGAGAAATTTGACCGTTCTATACTACCAACAATTCTTAGTTTGTTTTATCATTTTAATTTAGTGGAACCTCGTTTATTTCACCATTTGTGTTGATTTGCTAATTGAGTGGATGGGCATTAGAAGAAAACAAGCAAGTGAAACTTGATTTAGTATGCACACTGAAATCACGGTGAAATACTTTTAGCTCCAATTAAGCCTGCGCAGTGTTGTCTGTGATATAGGGTGTATACTAGTCCCATTTCAATTAGTTTCACTGTCTTTATACATTTGTTAGTCAAATAGTTAACTGGGTTAAACAACTTCTGAGGGTAGCAGATAAATGAGGTTCTACAGTCTACATTTCATTTGTTGCCAATGACCTTTAGATTTAGATAATATTAATACTTTTAAGGCTCTATTCATATGCCTGAACCATTTGAACTGTGTTTCTTCATGTACAGTATACTGTGTGCCTTTTTTTATGAGTACAGTCTGCATGTCTGCTGTCTTGGTATTTTAGGCCTAGTTTGTGCTTAAGGTAGACTCAGCAATGTGACCTCACTCCGAAACACAGAGGAACTCTTTCTCATAGTAAAGAAATGTAGACATTTTGCTTCTGAGGAGAGGATTGGGTTGATGGCTGGCTATTGGCTGGGTCCAAATATCACAAAAGTTTTCATCATGACCATTTGTTAAAGTGATGATTGGGAAAAGACAGAACAACGTGTCATTAAACACATATTGATAAAACGGTTGTCAGTTAGTGACATTATTAAATCAAACTTGAATTTGTGTGACTTTTGTCATTAATATTTATCACAATGGCAACAAAAAATTACACTGACAAATACAATGTATATTTTGCTCTGTGCAATCAGTCCAGTCGAATTCATGACTGATGTTCTTTATAATTAGACTACTGTTAACGGTTGAATACCATGTAATGTGTATTTCTGACCAGAATGACTATTTCAGATTGGAATGTAACCTAAGTCCACTTTTGAGTACAATGCAATGTATTTTTTTGTGAATACTGAATGATATCATTCCATAACTATAGATTTAGCTGATTACAGAATTCCCCCTCCGTTGTGAAAATGGGCATTCGAGTAGGTTTGGTGGCCCAAAAAGTAAATCTTCATTACTACTGTATAATAAATACAGTCCATTTGTACAAAAAAAAAACCTGTTCCTGTTTTTCTTAACATTCAATGTCTTACGTTTCAAAATCATGTCCCCTTCTACCTCTATCCACTGTTTTAGCATGGAAAGAATTAAAATGTTCCCATGATGTCTACATATTGTATTAAATAAAACCTGCCTTTGACTACAATGTTGTGATGTGCACTATTTCTCAGGGTTAAGATACAACATTTCAACATCCATATTAGAGAGGACTCATTAATACAAATTCATTTTAATTATGGTTTGGAAAGATTTCATATTCTGCATACATTTCTTTTTCTTCAACTATAGGTAAAGATAGAGTAAACATAATTAGTTTTTTAAGGTTTTGGATCATTTTTATTTTGTAAACAAAAGTACAGAAAGGGTACATTATGGTAAATCTATTCCACATTTCCTGTACGAAATTAATTAATCAAATAGGACTAGAAACCCTAAAAAAACAATAGGCCTATTACTAATTCGTAAAATAATGAGGGAATGCAAAGTTTCTTAACTATATTTCTCCTATTTATTGTTGGAAATAAATAGGAAAACATATATAGGTATATATGCTATATATATGTGTCCAAAAAATGTTTTTTTTATAAATGCATGTATAATAATTTCAACGTTTTATATTAGTGTGTTGGGGGGAACATTATTTTGTAGATTTTACATTCAGACTTTCTGCGCTGTCACAAAACCAACGAAGAAGAATCCACTTCCGCCGAACGATGCATGTGTGATGTGTGAAAAACAGCTAGCTGTTCACCATCCCTCACTAAAAACATCACAGGCTGCTGCCTTGTTATGTGGTAGATTAGTATATGAGTTTTATTCTTTATTTTTCACCTCAGTTCTGCGCGGAGTCACTTCTAATAATAGCAACAAACACATTCAAAACAACTGTGGCGCTGTTAAGCTAACGAGCACTAGCAAGAGGAAGCTAGCACTACCACACGGAAACACTCCAAGATGGACGAAGCTGCTGCAGAGATCAGAGAGGACGGAGCTGAAAACAAGACCCACGATGGAGACACCACATCTGAAAACAACGTTGATCCATCGGCTGAGGACACCGCAGATGGTGAGTCGGCTTTAATTGTCAGTTAGCTTATGTCAGTTAGCTTAACGTGGTTAGCATAATCAATATACCACTATTGTGTTTAGGCGTGGTGACCTCCTACCCAAACTTCACCACAGGGACAGGAACATAGAGACTGTGCGGAAGAACTGCGAATAACGATACTAACAAACCATTAACAATAAGCATGTTGCATTCACTTCAATTGTCGGAGATCCACCCACTGGCCTGTTTTATATTTCATTATTAATGGATGCTCACTTCTGTTTATATTGAAAACCCAAGCGACCGTCCTAAAACAAGCGAATGTAGATGTAAAGGTGTTGTCAGTATGTACATCTGGTTTAGAATCATATAAGAAATGCATAAATAGCAGTAGTAGTGTTGTGAAAGAAAAGGCTAACCGTAGCTTTGTTGAAAATTATTTTTTATGTGGCCAAGCTGAGAAACCTTAGATATGAAAGCTTACATGTAATTAGTATTGTTTTGTTTTATGACCCGTAAACGGTTAAACACATTGAAATATTATCTAATGAAATCTGATGACATCAAGCACAGTATAGTCATCTATTTTGGCCTAACATTAACACACCTCATACAGAAGCACTGCATTATGAGGCTTAACTATACACTGAGCTTCATGGTGGGTCTTATATATACATATGTCATATTTTTGTTTCATCGTAACCTAAATACCCTAATGTGATGTTTCTGAGAGACAAAGCAAGGAACTTAAATATCTCCATGAAAGCTGCCTCCTCTCTGAAGACTTTTCATTGAACATAATGTCTTCCTATGGGGTTGTTCCAAGTACCTAAATTCCTATATGCTCAGCCAAATGCACAGATGTAGAATTCAGAAATTAATCGATACAATTATTAGGGTTGTTCTCTAGAACACTGACTTTCTTAATAATTATGGATCCAGGGGGAGGGAGATTTTTGTTTTAACTTATAATGGCAATGTGATAAAAAAAAAATATATGTTTACTGTTCTTTAAAAGGGAACAATAAGGAGTTGTGTTACATTTATTTGTATTGTCTGGCAACAGACTCAATGTTCTCACTCAAAACGTATCTTTGTATTTCAAAAACATGACTGTCAATTTAGATATTATCAGTATTTTTAAAGTAAATTGGTAATGATTGCCAAAATATTTACTGCAATTGCAGTCCGATTTACAGTTAAGCATTTGCGGAACCCTTGGTTATGCACCACAATGTATTGAAATGTGGCGATTTGTAACATTTCGCTATTTAAAACTGCAGCAACCCTTTTAAATAACTGAACTTCACAGAGGTCATTTGGCTTTAGCACTGAAAGTATTAGCCCCTCTGTAAACTTTAATCACACTTTAAAATAAAGATATGATTTGCACCTGTGTTTTTGTTATTTTTGTCTTTCTTTCTCTGGAAACAGTAGGTGGCTTTGACCTCCTCTTTTCCCCTTTCTATTTTTAGGGGTTGGGGTTTTCTGCTGTCGGGATTGTGGAGAAGCCTTCAGAGAGGAGGCAGCTTTCTTGGAGCATCGCCATCAGCACCCACAAGAAAGCGTGCATTTAGACAAACAGTTGGATGGTTTACATGATGCAGAAAGGGACAATGAAACAACTAATTTCTGTACTATATGTTCACTATCGTTTGTGGAACCAAGTGAATTAATCTCGCATATGGAAAAGTGCCATGGTCAAACCTTGCAAAAGGAGTCTGGCATTCAAATAACTACTGGGATAACAAAGCAACACACCTATGAATGTGCAGAATGTGGGAAATGTTACTTTGTGATCGGACACTTCCTCAACCATCAGCGCTCACACAGACAAGCCTCCAAATCTGTTTTTCATGATCTTGAACATTTGAAAAAGAAGTCATTTCAATGCGAGTCTTGTGGGCGGAATTATTCTCGAGCTTCAGCTCTCGATGCACACCGTCGTTGTCATGAAGGAAAATTAGTCAAGTCACGAAACAAGAATTCAGCAGAAGCATTTCACACGGAGGAGTCAATCGTTGAAGCCAAGCCCAGTGAAAGCCAGACTCCTGAGGTTACTCCTGAAAAAACCTTTAAGTGTTCATGTGGTAAAGCTTTTACTGCCATGATGCGCCTTAAAACACATCAACGATTTAGCCGCAACAGTCTATGCTCTCCAGAAGAAATGAAAGAAAAACCTAAGAAAAGCTGCAATGAGTTTTACTGTGATGAGTGTAAAAAGGCTTTCACTGGACATATTGCCCTCTTTAACCATCAGCGATGGCATGCCAATCACTCTGATGATTCTGCGGAAAGGTTTCCTTGTGAGGAATGTGGCAAAGTATTTATGACACTAACATTCTACTACAGGCATCAGCGCACGGCGCATAGTAAGGAGACCCCAGCAAAGTCGTTTCTTCACCAAGTCTGTCAGCTGCAGAAAAAGGCATTTGAATGTAAAGATTGTGGACTAAAGTTTTCGAGGGCTTCAGCACTTCACTCCCATCAGCTTAATCACACAGATGTTTATGGAGAAACAGAGAAGGAGTCTCATGTGAGTACCTCTCTGCTACCTCAACAGAAAACTTTGGATAACGAAAGAAAAGAGACTAAGCAAGAAGAAGTGACATCAGAAAATGTGCCTCCTATAAGTGTGGTTGAAGAAGACTCACATGCAAATGAGAGTGATGAAGACTTGGACAGTTATGACCCTGGGGACTTTATTGTTCAGGTGATCAGTGCAAGTGAATCTGAGGATGAGGCCGCCCAAGACACAAATCCTGATCTTGAGCTGCTGTGTGAATCAGATCAGGAAAATAAAAATGAAGGCGACACTGGAGTTTCCCCCAGTAGTCTTGTTTTAAAACCAGAGATGGATTTGAAAATTGTAGAAATTGACTTTGAGCAAACTGATGAACAATGTGCACTGATAGCGAAAGAAGCCGAGAATAAAACGACAGAAGAAAGATTTGATTGCCCAGAGTGTTATCGTTGGTTTTCTAGTGCTTCATCACTGCGCGTTCACAGAATGTGGCATGGCGTTCGTAAGAGAAAACAGCAGAATCCAGGTCAGTCTGTGGCAGTTCACACATGTGACACATGTGGCCACAAATCTAATAGCCATGCAGCGCACTGCAGTCACATTCAACAACACAAAAATCCTAAAAGAAACAGTGATGGTGAATCAGAAGGATTAGAGACGAAAAATCTAGTGTGCAATGAGTGTGGTAAAAGCTTCTCACGTTTGTCTGCTTTAGTCTCTCATCAGCTGCATCATCCCAAAAGAAAACCATATCAATGCCCAGATTGCATGATGTCTTATTCTTATGCAGCTAGTTTTGTTAACCATGTGAAAAACTGCTCGGCACAAAAGAAGGGGAATATTTTGGTCAGTAAAAAAGAATACAATCCAAAAAAGACCCTTTTAGGCCCAAAGATTTATCATTGTGAACAGTGCGGGAAGGGGTTTTGGTCTTTAGGAGCTTATTCCCACCACAAGCAAAGTCAGACTGAGTGTACAGATTTAAGGCTTAGAAAAGGTGCCCCCGGATCTCTGCACTCTGTTAATGGACACCAACGGCCCAAGGTTGCATGTCCAGTTTGTGGTAGACAGTTCCGTCACAAGGGCATTATGGCATTGCACATGCGAAAACATGAAAACGGAAATCACAAATGTGAACTGTGCAACAGGTCGTTCCGTCTTTTTTCCAGCCTTCTCAGACACCAGGTTGTGCATAGTGAGTTACTCCCACCACCCATTAAGTCTTTTCAGCATCAGGTAGAGCAGTTGAAAAAGAACACATACAGCTGTCCTGACTGCGGGAAGCTGTTTTCACGGGCCAAAGCACTTCAGTTTCACATGAAAAGCCATGGGTACGAAACTGGTCACTCGCCATCATCGCCAAGATCCACTGTCACGCTGGAGGACCTGCAGTGTGCGACATGCCTCGCACATTTTAACAACAAAGCTTCTTTGCGGGCTCATCGCAAACTTTGCATTAAAAGAGAAAGTCAAGTAGTTGATTTTAAGACCGAACCCTCAGAAAATGAATATACTCAAAAGGACAGTATGGATGTTAGCACACAGGGAAGCTCTGAGCAAATAACACTACATACTGAAGTAAAGCAGGAACAAGAGAGTGTGCAACCAATGTTAGAAAATCAAACGGGTGAAGGCAAATTAGGCAACCCAAGCACAACAAATTTAAAATATAAATGCAAAAAGTGTGACAGAAGCTTTTCAGTGGCTGGAGCTTTGAATTTTCATAAAAGAATTCATGCTGATGATGACAAATCTGCAAAAGCAAAAATGGCTGTGTCTGTAATGCTTAAAAAACCTAAACAGGAAGAGCCAAGTAAAGGACATTTTCACTGCTCAGAATGTGGGAGGAGGTTCATGTCTAACTCGGCCCTCGGCTCCCACAGAAGATGGCACAAAGAAAAGAAATTAACACGGTCCTTGCTAAAAGATGATGAATTGAAATCTGATAAAAGCAAATCAGAGGATGGCCCTTTTCAGTGCCAAAAATGTGACAAACAGTTTTTTGACCGTCGTGTTCTCCAGCGTCACAAGATGTTTAACCCTCGGTGTCAAACAAAAACGGAGCCAGAGCTCAATTCAAACCAAAGCGTTGAGAGCCATAGCAGACTGAACAAATCTAAATTTGTATGTCTAGAATGTAACGCAACATTTGAGCAACAATTTCTTCTGGCTGCCCACTATGAAAATGAGCATAACACACTGGAAACTGCCGACCATGCAGAAGACGGGCTCGCCATGGTTGACCAGGAACCAAAACAGGTTGATGTAAACTTCAGTCGGAGTGAGTTAATGTCATCAATATCAAAGCCAAAAGCTCACCAGTGCCCCATCTGCTCTATGACTTTTGCTAAGGCAAGAGGTCTGCATGCCCACAAATGGCAGGCCCATTCCAAAAGGACAAAAAGTAAAAATAAGATCATTTTGAAGATAAAAAACAATGCCTCAAGCAGTGAAGTCAAACGGACAGAACAAATTAGTAACGTTGACAAAGAAATGAAGAAAACTAGAGCAGCCCCCCCACTTGTAAGATATGTTTCCTGCCTTGACTGTGGGAAGCAGTGCAGTTCTACAGAGGCCCTGTTTGACCATAAGAAAGTGTGCCACGAGATAAAGGAAGAGAAGATCAAAACACCTGAAACCGTAGCCGAGGTTTCCCCACCACTAAGCCGTCTATCAGAGCATATAGCAAAATGCCTATTCAAGTGTGATAAGTGTGGGAAAGCTTTCCAAACAGAGGAACACCTGGGGACCCATAAGACCAAGGCAAAGAGCCGCCCTTATTGTTGCGCCCTGTGCTGCATCGGATTTTGGTCTGAGAATCAGCTGCAGCAACACCTCGCCTGGCACGATGAAGTCCGTTGTCGTCTACCCAACGAGGTTCGGTATAGGATTGGCGCTGCTCTGACCTCAAAGCCTTTAAAAGCCAACGTCCCCTCTGCTGACACAAGGGGAACGCCCAGTTCATCAGAGAACCAGTCACAAAAAAGCCATAAGTGCCAACATTGTGGCAAAGCCTTTCTTTCACCAACTGCATTACAAAAACACGAAACACAGCACTGTAACAACGACTCGTATCATTGCTCCATTTGCCCCAGGACCTTCAGTGAAATACAGGACCTTATCGATCATCACCAGGAATGTATTGGTGATTACAAAAGGCAGAATGATGCCCCCGCTGCCGTCTCCTCAGTAGATGCTGATAGCCTTACTTGCCTTGAATGTGGAACTACTTTCTGTCAAGAAACTGATTTGCACAAGCACTACATGGAGCATGCCCATGGAGTGTACTATACTGTACAACCTGAAAAGGACTGAAGTGAAAACACTGTAGATTGTTTTGGAGGATGCCAAACTGCTTCAATATGTTCAACTGCATAATTATAAGATAGAAATGTGTTTAGACTAAGTAGAAAGTCTCCTTTTTGTTTGTAGACTATTTGAAATTCTTTATATATATATATATAACAAAAAAAAAAAAAAAATCATTTTCTTTTCAGGCATCCGTTACACTGGATTGGTAACTGTGCAAATGTTTCAAAAATAACCTCTTTATATAAATGATGTTGTAATGTCACAATTATTAAGAGCCACCGGTTGATTTGTTCCGTTATGATTTGAATTGTCAAGAGTTGAACCGTGGTTATCTTTTTGGTGAAAATTGACTTGAGTATGGTAGTTTATATCTAGATATATAACAAAAGGATTGGAAACATATATGCATGTACATGTTTGTCATCAATCTGAACAGTGCGGCTGACTCGCTACATATTTTCAAATTTTATGAATTTAAATATTTCTGCACAACTAAGATATAATGAATTTGCTTGTGTCCTTTGAATACCTGAGGTACAGGTTATCGCAACCATTAACTACCAAAAAACACATTTCAATTTCAAATAATTGTAAGTTATGTACAATACGTTTACCATTAGTTGATGTAGAAGCCCTCGTGCTCTTTCTTTTTCAGTATTGTGTTTCTCTGTTGTGGATATACTATTCCTTATGTAAACTAAAATAGTGCTTAAGTTCATGTAGGATAGTTGTTAGTTTACTGTGCCACTTAAAAAGTATTTGGATTATAGAAAATATGTTACTTTGTTTTATTAATTTATGAAAAACATTTTTTTCTTAGATGACCATTATACTTGTTTAACTTGCTGTTTCCAAATCAAAAAAAAAAAGAGCTCTAAAAAAGTTACAAAATAAAAGTTACAAAAATATTTGATTCGTGTAACGTGAATTACTGGGTTGTGTGATTCATATAGCTTTATTTTTGTTAATCTAAATGTTTGTGGAATTGTTTAGTTTGTTATTTCTGTTTTGTGATTGCTACTCTTTTTTTGACTAAGCACTGGGCGTGCTATGTGTAATATTACAATTTTACATTTCAAAACCTAACTATTCACTAGAAACCAGTCATTTCAAAGCCTGGCTTGTAAGTCACATGTTCGTTTTTAGTCATTAACAATTGAAGAACATCGGTCTTGACATCAGACATTGAATCATTTCATACAGAGAACATTATGGATATAGTTTCCAGCAGAACATTTATATCATTTTTTGGTGTTAAATAATAGTAAAGTTAATTGATGCATTATAAACCTAAAAAAACATTTAATTGGACAATAAGTGGTGCTTTTTTACTTAATGTCTTCAAGTTTTTAATTCAAAATGAATGTTTGAAATTATTATTATTTTTTATTAATTGAAAAATAATGTACTAATTTCTGATCATAACTCACATTGCATCCCTGCTTTCATATTTATAATGTAATTTGTAAAAAATGTATTTGGACATTTAAAGAAGTCTTAATTTCAATGCATATTGAAGAAATGTGCCACCTAGGAATAAGTCTGAGCAGCTGTGGTATACTTATTTGAGTGGCGCTCTCCAGGCTCCATAGATGGGTCACGGATAGTCTCCTTATTTTACAGACAAGCTCAACAAGGCTAAACATTGTATTTTTTTCACTTGACGAAGAGGAGAGCCACATCTCAGTCTTGTAAGTTTGACCTGCTGCAGTTAAACTTTGGTCACTTTAACAGTAACGCTTTTTTTCTATCTGTTACGAAACAGCAAAATGTCAGCTTGAAAATCATCGATTTGAAAACAATTATTAATCAGATCTGAAGATATATGCTAGTTTACTTTATATACTATACAACAACTTAATGAGTTTATTTAGAATTGAGAAATTATAATTCATGACATTTTATTTGTTAAATTAATTGCTCCTTTTTTCTTGTCTAGTCAAACAGGACAGCATTTCATGTGAGGAATGTGGACTGAAGTTTACACAATGGGACATCTACCAGACCCACCTGCACCAACATGCCCTGGAAGAGGGAGAGGAGGAAGAGGAGGAAGAGGAGGAAGAGGCCCAGATGGGAGACGACATGAGTCCTGTGTCAGAACTGGATTCTGTGAGAGGAGTCGATGGAAAAAGCCGAGATGTAGACATTAGTGGTGAAGCAGATGAGTGTGACACAAGCAGTTTATTGCAGATACAACCCACAGGAGTTACAGAAGATGTGCGGGACGCCGGAACAAAGGAGCAATTTGGGAAATATCATACTTGCTTAGTCTGTGGGAAGGTTTATACATATCTGGTTTCATACCAGAAACACCTACAGCTGCATGAAAACCTGCCACCTACAACTAGAAGTCCACCAAGTGTCCCTAATTTAGATCAGCATCAGTGTCCGGACTGTGGGATGTCGTTTATCAGGCGAGCACGACTTCTTGGTCACATGAGAGTCCACAGGGCATCCAAATCAAAACCTCCCAGATGTGATCAGTGTAGCATAGACTTCAGGTCGATAAAGTCATGGATGAATCATGTCGTCCTCCATAGAAATAAACCGTTTTGGTGTGTAAGTTGTGCCAAAGGCTTTAAAAATGAAGGTTCTCTAGATAAACACATCTATCGCAGTCATACTCTGATGAAACATACGTGCCATATTTGCCACGAGAGTTTCCACGCATCAGAACAGCTCAGGATCCACTACAAAACCCACAGTGGAGCGAAACCTTACCAGTGCACATTCTGCGGGGAAAGCTTCTTCAAACGTAGAAATCTACTTTTGCACCGAAAAAAGCATCTAAGAGCTTATGCTGGGTTCAACGGGATGCCTCGAGGTTCCAGGAAGCGAAGAAATGAATGGAGGAACAATTTTCTGGCTAGTGACAAAGAAGAGCCAGAAATAGATACATACGTGGAGCAAAATGAAACTCGACAGCCTTGTGAGTCTGGGGATCATGGGAGCTCTGAAGAGTCAGATTGTGGGAAGCCCTTACATCACTTCAAGCTTTCAAAGCCACCAGGGTCTGCTCGGTCTGGTCCACATGACAAATGGAAATCAGAACCTGTACAGCCCCCAACAGGACAGGAGCTGGCTGAGAGTGAATCACCAGAAAATAAAATGTACAGAGAACATAAGTATTGGGAGTGGGAATGTGTTGAATGTGATATGGGCTTTGATGAAGTGGCAAAACTGCATTTACATTATGTAAAGCATGCTACTGGGGAGCTGCCGATACCACACGATGATGTTGAAGATATTTAGGGTTGAAGGCTCACATAAGCATTTTTTTTTCTTACTTTGTCGACCATTTATTTTTGCATTTCTTACTGTTTAAAGAAATATGGTGAAGAAACAAATTGTTAGCAATTGTTGACAAATGAACTTGTAGAATTGATACTTATTATCTAGTGTGCTGAGAATGATTTTAACTCTAACCCACTGTCACATTTAAATATTTATAATGTCCCTGGGGAGATAAGGAGTTTCTACAACAGATTAACTTAGTGTCTGATGCTATGAGATTGTACTACAGTTTTTGAATGCATGATTTTGATATGTAAACTGAGATGAAACAAAGTGTTGCAAAAGCAAAGCTACTTCCCCTTTCCTTCTTAACCCCAAATAAAATGAAATGCATTCAACATGTTTGTGTTAGTCTGTATGTGCTTTTGGATAATACATTTTTTTTTTTGACAATGCAGTGTGTGTATGTATGTGTATATGTATATATATATTTCATTTCAAACCTTTATTTATCCAGGTGTATCCCATTGAGATCATTGATCTCTTTTTCAAGGGAGACCTGCTCAAGTAGGTTCCACATGAAACATTAAAACATAAACAGAACAACAACAACATATATACATATACATACAGTATTATAGGAACAGCTGAGATATCTGAGAGTGTTAAACATATATATCCACACATGAATGACAGCAAAGGTACGTGTGCAGGACTTCTGTGCATAACATTTAAACATCTCAAACTAGAAAATAAAACTGAACAGAAAAGTGAAATGTTGACAGTGAAAGATAAAAATCTGTAAACTAACATTAGGATATTATTTAAATTAAGTGTGCAAGTGTGTATGAAAAAACAAAGCATATTTCCATAAGTTTAAAACATCATCACACAAAAAGTATACATTTTATTTTGTATTCTAAACATAGTTGAGGCATTGTAGTCTTTAAGCAGAGTGGGCGTAGGACCATAGACTGCGTAGGACTCATGGATGTATAATAAGAACGTAGGACTCCTGCATGAGTGGGGGGCTGATTGTGGTAAAGAACTACAATTCCCATGATTCCTCTCCGACCCTCTCAGGAGTGACGTCACGTTATCTGCAGGTCTGTTGGCTTTGTGCAGAGCGACGCAGAGATGTTTGGGCGGACGAGAAAGCATAGGTAATCTAAATCTACATCCTCCTGCATTCATACAGCTATACGGGATATTATCATGGGATACGTAGAAAGTGACTACATATTTAGCTTCTTTGGAGCTGTTTCGGGTCGGAAACGCTAACATTTCCAACCGTATTCTCCATGTATATTAGTGAATATAATAAGCTAACTGCGCTACTATTATCTGCGTAACTGTATGTTCAAGAATAATATCAATATTTTCAAGCACTGTACACATACACGATTCATACAAATAAGAGTGTACAATGTAGCTTATAAACTAGCATTTAACGGCTGCCCTACATCGTCTTTCTTTTGTAATACACATGTTTTAAACCCATTCATTCCCTGGTCCTCCAGCTGGCGCATTGTACATCACAAAGGTCCCTCACTGCTTTTAGAACAAATCAAATAGTGGATAGAATCATTTGTTATAAAGCAGGTTTTACTACTACTAAAACATTGTTGGTATCTTGTGTGAGTCTCAGTGTATGTGTTGGTTTACCTGTGTAATTAACAGTCATAATGTGTTTCTCTGTGGTACCTGGTTTCATAGGAACATATGAATTGCTACACTTGCTTTTGAGAAGCCAAAGAGCAGGGAGCCATGCAGAGTCCGACCCAGTCACCGAGCGGGCCAAACCCTGGGGCCACAGCAACCCAGGAGCCACCACTGGACACCGAGACTGAAGCTCAGCCAGCACAGAGTGATTCAGATGAGCAAAAAGAGAAGGATGAACCAGCAGCTCCTGTTATGACTGAAACTGTAAGGCCCCAGGAAAATGGGACAGAGGTGCAAACAGCAGAAACACCTGCAAGCCTGCCAGTCACTCAGGCAGTGGAGAATGAGCCTGCTGTCCAGCCACAGACAGAGCCCTCAGTTAACAGTGCAGGGGTCGAGACTGACTCAGCTTCAAAGCCAAGCGCCCCCTCAGAACTGGTACCAGACACAAATGCAAAATCTAAGTGTGATGAGAAAAAGGCAAAGAAAACGGATAAAGGTGTTCGTGAGCCTAGGAAATACATTCCTTCCAAGAAGGCCATGGTGGATCCTCTGAAGATGGACATGTCCAAACAGCCGGTTATACCCCTCACATGTGAGTATTTTAACTTTTATTGTGTTGTTCACATCTTTCTGAACAAGGCATGGATGGGAGACCTGTTTGTTGTTTGATTATTAAATAAGGACCACTCACTGCTTACTAATTTAAATATAAAAGCCACATTTTGTAGTTGGGAGGTATCGTGCTTTCTCATATCCCAGCTAACATTGTGTTATAACGGTTCACATGATAAATAGACACTGATTTTCTACAGTGGAATGTTGAAAGCTGTGGTGTTACGTTAAATAGCTAAATACTGTACAAATGTCTACAGAAGTTAGTTACACATTAACATTAATGTGGATTTCAAAGTCCGTTTTAGATAGTAATACAAGATAGTATTCTTTAAATGCTTTCAAGTTTTGCTTTACCATACTACAAAAACATCTGGTTTGGTTAAACCTGTGCAATAAACAATTTATGGTGTTCAAAAGCAGCCAAACAAAACACTGAATATTAGAGCCAGACCAATATTTTATTTTAGAATATTTCATTGCTTATTTCATCAATTTTGGTTTTCAAGTTTTTCTAAGAGCCCTGCTCTTTACCGAAAATGTTTCTTGGAATTATTATTTTATGTAAACAATGAGCTGATACATCGTAATAATATTTATCAAACTCTCGTAGATATATTTATTTTGGTATTTGCTTTACAGGCTACAATGCACAGAGGACAGTACTGATGTGATTTCTAATTTTGACCGGCTAGTACTAATTGAATATAGCATAAGTTGTTAAGGATACTTAGTAAAACACATATGGTCTCCTTTTTTTTATTTTTTGACCAGACAATGATTTGTTTACTCAGTAATAACTATACAGTGTCCTCAAAGCCACATTTTTTTAGCAAGCCTATGTACTTGTTATAAATACTTATCACTATTCAGAGTGTATGGATTTATCTTAAAGGTCACCTATTGTGCAAAATCCACTTTTTCATGTCTTTTATACTTAAACATGTGTCCCCTCTGTGTAAAGAGATTCTGAAAGTTTCAGGAAAAAAGATTCTCTCTCTTTTTGTCCTGATCCAGTTACATAGAAACCTGTGAAAATGAGCTGATCAAATTCTGGCCACTTTATGATGTCATAACGATCTTTTGGCTTGTGTAACCATTAGCCAATCACCAACCAAGGTAACACCCCCCCCACCTTATCACCTGAATCTCCTCCTAGAGCAACATTGTGTTATTTTTAACCAAATATCTCTCAGAGGGGCGTGTGGAGTGGCTCCTTATTTTCATCTAAAGCAGGGGTAGCCAACACGGTGCCCGCGGGCACTTAGTCGCCCGCAGGGGCAACGTGAGTCGCCCGCGGGGCATGTTCTAAAAATAGCTCGCCAAGCAAATCAAAAATGTATAAAATACACAAAACAAAAAAGGAAATGTAATTAAAAGAATCTACCCTATGCATAAACGAAACCTAAATCATAGCGAACTCTATCTACTTACTACAACTCTATATCTATCTAACACCCCTCCTCTCCCCTCCCCCACAATGAATATCGACCAATCACGTTCTTGCTTGATTTGCGGGACCAGCGTTGCAGTCTGGAAGAAAACAGAGCTAGGGAGGGAGGGAGGGAGGGAGAGAGAGAGAGCTAGGGAGGGAGGGAGGGAGAGCGAGAGAGCTAGGGAGGGAGGGAGGGAGAGCGAGAGAGCTAGGGAGAGCACACCTTTATCTATTTAATATAGATCAAGTCAGAAATCATTCCAATGTGTACTATAGGACAGTAAAAAAAACAAGAAACAGTTTGAAAGGGGAGTGATTAGTAAAATATGCATAAATAAAAAGAAAGAATGCTAACTAGGTAACATAAGATAAGAATAATCAAGTTTAAATGATTTGTTATTGGTTGTGATCATATTCTAAAGATGTTTGGATTATTGAAAAGTATACAGCTCCCTTTCATCTGAGTGTTGAGAGCTGTATCCATCAATTCATGTTGTGCTCAAAGTGCTCCAGATTGATGCATTTAACTTCAACATTTAAAAATAATCTTCCCGGGGGTGCATGCCCCTAGAGGAGATGAGGACTCCCCTAGAGGAGGTGAGGACCCCCCTAGAGGAGGTGAGGCCCGTCCACCCCCAAATAAAGCAGGTTAAAATAATTAAATTGCATACATGTTCTTTTAGTAAACACTGAAAGCGGTCCCACAGACCCAAACAGCACACAAAGGTTAAAGGTCAGCATATCATCATGTTAAAATGTGCTAAAGATATACACTGCAAAAAACAATAAAAAGAGGAGTAAAAGTAGCCCCCGACTTGTTTTATTTTTTGAAAGTAGCCCTCACCCTAAAAAAGGTTGGTGACCCCTGATCTAAAGTAACAGACAGAGAATCAGCACTTTTGGAACAGGGCTGAAACAGAGGGGATTATGGGATTCTACAATTGGTGATCTGTTTTTCAAGCCAAACACTTCAGAGACATGTTTTGTATATATCTGAGACCTATAATATATTGATGAAAAACAGTATAATAGGAGACCTTTAAATGTAAACTTCCTCCCACTCCTGTCTTGTTTCCCTCTAGCGTCTCAGCTGTCGCTGCAGTGCTTTGAGTGCCACATAATCTTCAGTGATGTCAAGAGCAAGGAGCGTCACCTGAAGCTGAGCCACCCTGCAGAATATGAACAGTGCATACTGAGGAACTCCCTTTTCGCCTGTTACGTTTGTGACCGCCACTTCACTAACTCCATAGATCTGATGCTCCATCAGAAAGCTCACACAGAGAAGAAACCCTTCAAGTGTCCGATTTGTAGCGAGGCCTTCAACAAGTCATCAGAGCTCACCTTTCATAAAAAAAATCACTATGGCCAGGACGGTTATGAATGCACAGACTGTGGGAAAAACTGCAAAACGATGACGGCTTTGAAGTATCACATGCGCAAACACTCTGGAGAGAGGCCGTATGTTTGCAAGGAGTGTGGAAAGAGGTTCAGCATGTCCAAAGCTCTGCATAAACATATGATGGCACAATGTCAAGGAGAGGGTGACGACCCAACAGCTGACGCTCTGAAAAAAGCTATTGGTAAGAATAAATGGAGGTCTTAACATTTTACACATGCTAACTTAATGCTAGCAACCTGGCTCTTAATATGGATTGTAATTAATATCTTTATTCTTTACCTTGTCATGTAGTGCCATCATGAGATCAACATTTAATTTGTCCAATATATTGAATAATGACTGGTTACTGGAAAAGTTAAAACATTTCAATAAGCCTCAGCATTTGGGGCTAATAAGCAAATACTGGCATGCTAACATGCTTAACTAATAGAGTGAACATGGCAAACATTTAATTTGCCGACTATAGCATTTTGTTGAAAGCAACACTTGCCTTTGTACAGGTTTAGATTAGTACAGTGAAGTATGTAAGTAAATGTTTTTATTTTTTCAAAATGTTTTTGTGTTATTTCGTTTATACCACAATAACTGTCTTTTTATTGTCTCTAGGGCCTTCTTCAATAAAGTATCCTTGTTCTTTATGCAAGGCCACTTTCAAGTCTACCAGGACACGACAACATCACATGAAAACCAAGCACAACATGGTGCCTGCTACAGCGAGTAAGGCCCTCTCAGCTGAGCATCAAGGGAAACATAATACACCCATCATAACTCCAATATCTATTTGCCAGTCATCACTACTACAGGCAGGCCCCAATGGACCTTTGCAAAAAGTTGATGCCAACATTGACACAGAGCAGATTCGCAGACTTATTGAATCTTTGGGAAATGTGCAGAGAGTAAACCAAGTTGTCATATTGGGGCAGCTGCCACCTCACGCTGCACCGCTGGAAGTCCATCAGATGTCACAACTACCACAGACAGATTTTATGGAACTGAAACCGACAGGATCTAACATAGTTGAAATGGAACCTTTAAACCCATGTTTTGCACTGGATCAAACAATTATACTTGAACCTATTACGCCAGAAGGACAACTGGAAAACCCTGATTTCTCAGAACTAGGTTCCAACATAACAATAGGTGAAAATATAGAGCTAACACTTGTTCAGACTGAAAAAACAGAAAGACCTGAGGGAGAGGGGATGCATCAGATCCTTCAACAGCCTGATAATAGTGCAATTCAGTTTGATCAAATAATGTTTCAGAATGGGGTAGATCTTGAGCAAACAGTCATATTAGAACTTATACCAACTGAAGAGCTTGAACTACCACAAACCGTGTCACAAAATGAAATCCCATCATCCTCTCTGGTAAACGCTGACCTGCAGCAGATGGCATATCAGACTGTGATAGATGAACAAGCCAACATGTCAGCCACAACTCTTGTGACTGAGCTGGAGCTGACACCTTTACAAATAGAGCAGCAGGGCCTTCCCTATTTTGTTCCATCAGACACACTCACACACACAAGTGGAGCTGAAGTGGTTGATTCACAAATGCAAACAGTAAGTCTAGATCAGGAACACCCTGTGATGGATGGAGCTGCACCACAAGAGACACAAGAAAAAGCTGAACAAGATCAATCTGAACAAGAACCATCTGAGAAGCTGCCGGTAGAAGGGAAGAACGGTGAGGAGCCGGTGGAGAACCTGTCTGAAGTAGAGGATCCACCTGCTAAAGAAGTGTTTCCATCAAACTTAGAGACCAAGCAAGTGCCACAGGTGTCCGAGTTACCCGTAAATGTAATGTCAGCTCAAGAACTTGTGAAAGTGCGGAAGAGAAATTCAAACAAGGCGTTTATCTTACAAGGATGTATGCATGAACTAGGCGGATCAATATACAAGGATGATTTTCAAATTGATGCTACACCTTCCAAACGGCAAAGAAAGAAAAAGTCTCATCTTGTAGTTAAATGTAGCCCTCAAAGCAAAGAAAAGAACAACAAGAAACAGAAAAAGCCATCACAGCAGCATCAGCCAATACAAGAAGACGAGATGAGAGATAAAACACCAGCAACAATTCTCTCAAAGAAGAAGGTTCCGCCACAGAAGAAGGGAAGAAAGGGCAAAAAGGACAAGAAAACCAAACATTTTGTTTCTAACGCTGAAAGAAATTCTCCTTCATCAACCCAGGATTCACAAGTCCAGCAAGTCAAAGAGGATAGAAGAAAAAACAAAACAAAAAAGCAAAAAGAAGTGGCCAGGGAAGGTGTGACACTCATTAGTAAGCATAAGACTTTAGCCTCGCCTGTATTTAAAAAGAAAAAACAAACCAATATCATGCAAAAAGATCAGACCAAGAAATCAAAGGGTGGAAAGCAAAAGAAAAACCTTTCAGAAGAGGAAAAAGTCGAAACAAAAGAGAGCGCAGCTTCAACAGACATATCTGGAACACATATAACACAGGATGCTCTACTTCTACTGAAGGGTCATAAACAGCCTCGACTTAAGGTTTACAAATTAGACCCTTCAAAGGCACCAGGCCAGACACAGGAAGCTTCACCTGTTGAGGGCAGCACAATATCCCAAAAGAGTAAAGACATCAACTGTAAACATTCAACAAGTGAGTGTACAAATACGGAGGATAAGAAAAAAGGAGGAAGAACTAAAAAGAACCAGAAAACTCTCTCATTGTTGTCCTCGCTGCAGGCTTCCCGTCAAACTCCCGAGACACTGCCTGCCAAGCCAAAGACAACAAGGAAACGTAAAGCCTGCTCAGGAGTGGAGACTGAAGGAGTGATAACTTCGCATTCCAAGCGTGCCTTAGAGTGTAAGGACTGTGGGCAAAGATTTAGTGAAGTCTCGTCCCTTCAGAAGCACAAGGCAATGGTGCATATCGTAGAGAGTCCCGGTCTCACTTACACGAATGGAAACATCTTTGAAGGCGTCTCCACGTTGGATCTTTACCAGCTTCCAAAACAGCCCAATAAGGTTGTCGGGGTGATGAATGCTGCTGCAGACTGGGATACTGAGCCTGAGATTGTAGAGATGGCATTAGATGAGAAAGAGCGAAGTGTCTCTTTTCCAGCTTTGATTCCATCCCCATCTTTTCTTGTCCCTCCTTCCGATGTTGAAGTAATTGAAAATGAAAATAATGGAAATGAAAATAAGGCTGCAGATAAACAGTCCTGTACCTCTCAAGAAGTTCACTTACCAGCCGATCAAATGAAAACCAGTGGAATGCATCCAATCCTACCGTCTGAACCCCCATTAGGTACCTCTGCTCAGACAAAGAGTTCAGAGTTCGGTGAGCCTTTGGCATCAGACGAGAACAAGCAAGAAGAAGCTTCCCTCAGGAATCCCAGCACAGAATCTGAAGTCCAGGGTACCACCGATGAGGACATAAAGGAGAATTTACTTCTTGATGTAGATTTAGTCACTGTTGGGGAGCAGAATGACAGAGTTGAAACAACCTCTCAAGAAGACTCTGTTCCTCAAAATGAATCAAGTGTAACCTGCAATCCTGAGGATGGAAGCATCAACAAACTTTCTGGGCAAGTTAACAATGAAACAACAGCTGGAAGAAGTCTAACTTCACAAACCGTGTCATGTTCCACTCATCAAGTGGAGATCAAGGAAGAGGAGGAAGAACTGCAAGTACAGAAGAAAAAAGGAGGAAAAAGAGCTATTTCAAGAAATGCTACAAGGGGTAGGAGAAGAGAAACAGGACGTTTAAAACGGGATGCGATTTCAAAGAGAGCTTTAGTTGGAGATACCACCAAAGGAACAGAGTCAGAAAAAGAACAGGAGGAATGTCAGCTACTTTATGAAAAACGTCCCATCAGCTCTGATTCAGAAATACATGATGACGGCCAGCCCAGCATAAATACATTACAGCCAGAGATCAGCACAGAATTTGAGGCCAACAAAGCTACGGTTCCAGCTGCATCTTTGTCTACCATTCCCTCTACATTAGAGAAACCTCCTGAAGAACCAGTTGTGTTGGAGTCGGCCACCAGTACTGACCAGGTAAAGGGTGTAAGACGATTACAGGGAGGAGAGGAACACAACAGGGATGCTAACCAGTCTCCAGTCATCATACTCGAGAAGTTCCTCACCTCCAGACAAGAAGCAACTGCTGACAAGGAGCCGGGCCTGGTGACAGAGCGGAACCATCAGAGCCAGGTGAGAGGCCAATTGTACCAACAAATACCATACGTTGATGATCACGATCATAAATTCAACATTGTAAACTTAAAACTTTGGTTTTGGTTTTAGGGTTTTGACAACATTGCTGAGAATGAAGACCTGGAGAGCCAGCAGATCAAGGTTGAAGAGAATATCCCAGATCGTCCACTGGTTGCACCCATCTGTCAAAACAGACTAAGTGCAAGTGTGACTTTGCAGCACCATCGTGATATAAGGACCGTGCTGGTGAAGGAAGAGAGCAGCCTCGTGCTGAATGAGACCCAGGCCAGCGGCAGACACATCCGATGGAATGTGGAGCCAGTCAACACGGAAAACACGTCCAGTCCATGTAAGTACTAACGGCACTTTTGGTACATTACTAGCACAATTGTGCTAGTTCAGCATTCAGGTAAATTATATTATTTGATTTCTTCCTGGAAGATGGATAATAATAAATCGATACCACCCATGTGTGGGTATGGAGCTTGAAGTAAAAAGATATGATTCTAAACTGTATTGAAGTGAACATGTATTGTTTGAACTGTTTTAAGTAATCACATATATAGATATTATATTCTCACTTACAACTCACTGACCCAGAGATCCTGTTACACACACATACACCTCCTTCACTAAGCACACACACACATATTCTTTTCAAGGTTCTTTCTGGGCATCATTATATTTGTGTACAAGGTTTAATTGTCTGAGAAGGAATAGTTTATGTGAAAGATCCCATGGGAAAGTAAGGGAGTGGATATCGGGGCAGAGATAAGATTGACTTTGCCCTTGAGGAACTTCAGAATCTCACGTTCTGGTCAGAACTCTGATTCGCTGTATTGAACCCGACCAGAAGTGAATCCAACCAGTAAAAACACCTGGGGGAGTGAGCAGCTCACACAGCTCCTCCCCACGGACTCTCTAATTCGCTTCGGAGTAAAATGGGAAGGAAGAAGTCAACACATCTCCGCCCCAAAATATGAATATGAATACTGTTGTTTTTGTATGTAAAATGCTTCTGGTTTGCTGAGTGGTTGGTCCCGATACCTGTGTCCGCATCGCATCACAAACCTGAAGTCCGTGCTTCTTGTTTGCTGAGTGGTTGGTCCCGATACCTGTATCCGCATCGCATCACAAGCCTGAAGTCCGGAGTACTCTGTAAAACTTGTATACGTGTTTTGTTTCCTACCAGTAAACTCAGATAATTGTTATAACTTTTGATTCCGGTGTTTTCCTTTCTTTATTAAATAGAGATCAGCCTCATCTAACGAACGGCGCGTAGCAGAGGGGGGGGCTATCAGCCACCACCATAGGTGTTCTGCTCCAACAAGCTATAGCCAGAAAGCGATTCAATTAAGTCAGATGAATTAAGTATATTACGTTCGTCAGGGACAATGTACCAAAATACAACTTATCCAAAAAGAAGAGATGTGTTGTACATAAACATTAGCTTTTTTTCACCTGCGAGCTCTACCTTTTCAAGGTAGTACAGAAGCCTATGACTTGATTTCTTCCTTTTCATAAATGTATGTTTTTTGCTTTCAGTAATTGAGAGTGAGGAGACAGCCATGGATGAGAGTTGCGTCACCCCCCCTGAGTTCAACACCAACCAGTGCATCTTCTACCCTGTAAAGGAAGAGGAGAGGGAATTTTTACTGGGGGCTCAGACCAACAGTGGGAATTCAACAACGGGGGCATTCTGTGATGCCCAGCAAACAGAACAACATGTAACAGATAATTCAAGTGAGTTGTTGTCTTTTCCCAGTGATATTTAACAAAGATTATACAATTATTGTAATGTTGAATATGTTAACAACAGATGAAGGCTGCCATTCTGCACCAGGCTACGAGGAGATGAGAGTTAGAAAACTGTCAGAACCTGGTGTCAGTGACTCTGCAGATAGACAAGGTATTTTCCCTGTACTTGTGGCTACTTAGAAAATGCTAATATTTGTAGGCTAATTATTAAATATAAAGATTATACTTTAAATAATGTGTTTGTATATGATCTGATCCTACAGCTGAGGCAGAAGCTGAGATGCAGCATCCACCTGACCTCCGGGACTTTCTCCTCCAGAGTTCAGATGAGGAGGATGTGGGTGTTTTTGAGATGTCTGATCCTCAGCTTGACTCAGAAGCAGAAGTAATGGCTTACTTCTACAAAACCCAAACAAACAGTGCACAGCAGGCCGGCAGTGATGAATTATCACAAAAGTACAGTAGATCTTTCCTTCTTCACACCTTCACAGATAACTGCGTTTTTCTACTTTTTTTTTAGATTCAATATTGTTATACTGTTCAGTAATGATGTTTATTGAGTTATATTATTGTAACTCAAAATGAAAATGAAAACTCAAGCTTTAGGGAGAACAATATGTCTAAAATGTTTTTCTTTTCTTTTTGATCTTTTAGCATGCCAACTACATCAGGCCAGATCCAAGCACCAAGAGAGGAAACCAGAACCACAGAGCCCATTGACTACTTCTCCAAGTATTTTGGTTGGGATACCTGGGTAGAAATTGCTAATTGCACAAATAAAATATCCAACATGCCCAGACCTGTCACATCCAGAGAGGTTGCACAGTTTGTTGGGATCCACGTTGCAATGGGAACTTTGAAGGTTAGTGCTCCGTTTTTTGAAAGTGTATTTGTCTCCGGGTCATTTTAAATTGAAACCTTAATGTTGAAACTCATTTAAATGTGTGGACCAAAGCTCCCTTTAATAATTGAAAAATATAGCGTGATGCTGAAAATAAATGCCTTTTGTTTTTAGTTGTTTTAACCACTGTAATGCTTAATACTGGTCAACTGAAAGCAGCCATTTCAGAACTACACACTAGTTGGAATGCTGCTTAACCCAAAGTAAAATGAGAGCTCATATAACTCTTGTTTTATGCAACCTACACTGGCTGCATGTATCTTTTAGAATTTAGTTTGAGTTCTTAGTGTTTAAGGCACTTAATTGCCTTGCCCAGGATTGTCCCCAAACACTAAGATCCTCCACAGATGCTCAGTTTGGCAATGCTGCTTTTAGGCACCACTCCACAAAATATGGAACCTATCTTGCTGACTTAATGAACAGTTTGAACAAAAACACAAAACTCATCTGTTTTTTTAAATACAGCCCAGTAATAGCAGCTGTCTGTCTTTTTATCTGTATAATTCAAATTGTTAGATTACAGAAACACAAATGCTCTCATTTTCTACTTGTTAAGTGTATGTTTTTTTAATGTGTGTTTTTAAACTTGTTTTGTGCTGCATTTTGTGAATTAAATGTGTTCATTCATCCTAACTATATAACTTAACTATTTTTCAGTTTCCCAGTCCGAGGCTCTACTGGGAGAACTTAACTAAGGTGCCCTTGGTTGCTGACTCCATGCCACTTTCCCGTTTCCTCGAGCTGTCTCGCATGTTGAAGCTTGCATGTCCTGCGAAGGATCCAGTCAACAGTAATGTTCAGGAAGGAAGATGTGATAGTGACTTGCAAAATGCTCAGCAAGGTCAACCCCACTCTAGCAGGCAAAGTGAAATTGGCCAGCGAGACACGCTAAATGAGCTGAGCAGCTCACAAACACAGACTGATCCCCTGTGGAAGGCTCAGCCATTATTGTGCCGTTTCAAAGCAGGGTGCCAGTCTCTCAGACAAGAGGGTGATTATGCAGTTGACCAATATCCTCTACCTTTGACTGGGAAAATGCACAACAAGAAGCTGTCTCTTTACTGTACTACATTAGTTGGATTCGGAGGTTTGCTCTTACATGTGGATCTTAAGTTGGGTCAGTCCAGCCAACAAGATGCAGTAGAGAAAATGGTCCCCAAAGGTAGTATGGTGTTTCTTTGCAAACAGGAACTGTCCACCCCTGCAATGCTGGAGCGTCTGTTAGTTGCCGGCGTTCATGGTGCCGGAAGGGTCGGAGGAGCCAGAGGACAGATCGGAGATGAGTTTTTAAGCTCAGATGGGAAGCTGATGTTACGCAGATCACACTGTGGCTTTATACTTTCTACAGCGGGCAATAACCAGAGGAACATGGCCTCATTGATGGACAATTTTGAGAAGGCCCAGATGTCGGCTCAAGTCAACAGAGATTTGCAGAATCTTTACTCAATTCCTCTCACTGCCTCGGCCCCAACCTGCTGGCCTCAGGCAGTGCTCTGGTACTTAACAGATCTGGCTTTGGTCAACTCCTGGCTCCTCTACAGACAGGATCACAAGGCAGTGTCTGCACCTTTGACTCTAATGGCCTTCAGATTGGAGGTGTCCAAATCTTTGATCCTCTCGAATGGCTGTGATGCCCAGGACTCAGTCCCCCCTCAGACCCCCAGAGAGAAACCTCATACAACAAATGAAAAGCCCAATCCCAGCCTGGTGGAGGAGAGTCCTCTGCCAGATGTAGCCACGCGGTTCGATGGTTCAGGACACTGGCCAGAGCAGCTTGGGGAGGGAGAAGGAGGCAGGTGCCGCTATGGAGACTGTCAGAGAACATCTCGAGTGCTATGCCTTAAGTGCTGTGTTTTTCTTTGTATCTCACGCAACCACAACTGCTTTTTGAATTTCCACAATCAAGGGAGTTTGGGAAAAGAGTAGCCTCAACTGCAAAATTCACCCATTGACATTATGCTTCCTGATTTAGAATGTAGCTGTGCTTTTGGTGTACTACATTCCAGTTAATCAAAACAATTGTATTATTTCCTCTGTCCTTACAACTTTTCCATGATGCCTTTCACTGGGCAATGTTTGGAAGCATAATTTGTGCTGCAATTTAAAAACAAATGCTTTGTGATGTGGCGTTATATTTGTAGTGTCAAACTGAATTTGCCTTCAGAAGGAAATAAAATAAAAATATGCATAGCCATACAATTGGTGCTGCAAAGAAGCACAAAGTATGATTTTGGCCTTACCGTAAGTTATTTTTCAAAATATTTATCTTAACCTGACCTAACATGAATTTACATCCTTAAATGGGCTTGTTTTTGGCTCTGAATTAAAATGTTATTTATTTTAATTGAAGAATACAATAAAAGAAAGATGAAAAGATACATCTTGCCTTTTTTTGAGCCATCTTTATTTTATTGCATTTTTGTGTTATTTTTTTCTACTTTGACATGTCAAAATGTGTTGAAAGAAATTCGATTTATTTATGCATTGAAATTGCACTCCAATAGGTATTGATAATGTTTAATAGTGGTGAATTTCATGAAGAAAAAAACTCCTATACAGAGTTGTGTTATGCTGCAGATATAAGTCAAACAAATACTACATATATTATTTTAGATAACATTACACACAAAAATAAGCTACAACATATACCTTTGTGTGTAAGCTTGTTGGCACTATGTTATTATAGAGGAGGTTAACAAAGCATCGACAGAAAATGTAATGAGTACTTTTCATTAAGTTGTTTTGGGTCACGTGACATAGACCAAACATAGAATCAGATTGAATAGAAAACGAGGTAAATTCAAATCCATGATCGTAAACAAATAACTGTATCTGTCCTATTTCGTATTTTAGATGATGGTATTAGTTAATTAAGTGTATTAAATGTACGGTCACATTTTGAAACGTTTGTTATAGTGCTACTATAATGTAATAAAGTAATGTTCACCGTGTCCATGAACATGTTTGTGTTTCTTCCTGCACAAAATGCTAAGTGCATAATGCATAACGTTCCTAGTTCATTTTATATTATATTTGTATTTGTTGATATTTTCTTTAAATGTTATCATACACAATGTAACCATGAATGTAACGAACACTCCACGGCAGCCATCTTAGCTGTACCAACGGCTATCACATCCACCAGGAAGTGTCCGATCTATCCGTTGTATTTCTATAGGGTCAACTCTTATTCAGTCAAACTACCTTCAAAGAGCGGCTAGAGGTAACGTCTACTCAATTTTACATTTGGTTTTTTAAATACTTGGTTTTATGGCTATACAAACATGCGATATATGGTTACACGACAGGGGTATGTAGCCGCAAAACAATTAGTTGAAACTTGATACGTGAAAAGGCACGAAAAGTCCTCGATTCTCTTTGAATGGCAGCCAGTGTTTTTAGCGCTAACAAGTAGCTAGCATGCTATCTGGCGTTAGCCCGCTCTGTAGCCCAGTACTTTATGATTAGCGTTAGCTACCTGCACATGCTAAACACTTAAGCGGTTATCAGTTGTGTTTATGGTTACCGCTTACAATAAGTTCACGTTAAGGCCCCATGGCAGTTAACCAGAGGCCGGATGACTTGAAATTGTGCTAGTTAGCCTAGCTAGCGGCCCTAAGAGCAGTTACCTAGCGTTAGCCGAAACTTGGGTGTTTGCTACTACTAGACAAACAGGTGAAATACACTTGGGGCAATAAACGTTGTGGTTTCGATGTATTTTTGTTTTATATTTATCAAAAATGAACTTATCGTGGAATGTATTTGTTCACTGTCGTCTGTTGAACATAACTGTATATGAACGAAATGTGGGGTTACGTTTGATCTAACCGTGTTATATGTTCCCGCTTTTATTTCCACGTCACATGTAACCTCACGTACATTTGTCGTTGTTTTTGCCTTCTTTAAGCAAGCTGTTTTGAGTGACGGTCGAGACCACCCAGTTTACCAGGATGGACTCGGATATTTTGAACATAGAGGATATAGTGATGGGACGGGCATTGCCGGATCCACCTCCCGAAGTTCCCCCTGCAAAGCCAGCCGCACCATACAAACCCATCAATTTTAAGGGACCTCCAACGACCACCATTCAACCTTGTAAGTGTTTCGATGGCCATAACTTAGTTTGGATTTTCTTTGCTTGGTCTATCTAATTTGCTCATGTCCTTTCAGATCAGCATGAGAACCTGCAGTGTTTCCAGTGCTTCATCACCTTCTGCAGTGCCAAAGCCAAGGAGAGGCATATGAAAAAGAGCCATCGGGAAGAGTATAAGCAACAGCTTCAGCAGGTAAGCTTTACATGATCAGTTCATATAATAACTACAAAGCGTAACCGTTTGGGTCTTTTTAGAACTTTTGAATTGGACAATGTGCATAAATAAACATAGTTTAAATTGGTGTTTCTGCTATTTTGTAAAACAAGTCTTTTTCCAACTCTACTTTCTGACACTGAGTTGTATGACCTTTATTTTGCAGTGCCTGTTCCTTTACTCTCCTCAAATTATGAATGTAACAGGTTTCTTGGGTACACATTAGTTCCCCACATTACGTTAAATGTAACATTTGTCAAAATGTAATGGCATTGTAATGCTAAAAAACTATAGTGCCAAAGTACATTCACTTGTTACAGTGTGTGTTTCAAGTTACGCTTGAAATGTATAGTATGTAGTTAAGCTTCACGTTATGTATTTAGGATAATGCACACTGTTTATAAAGTTCATACATTTAATACATGTTAATGGTCAATAGCCCAAAAACACGCTTCTGCACATCACTTGATTCTGAAGAACCTGTAGCAGCGGCGCGCATACATTCAGCAGCAGCGCTGTGGCTCAGTGCATAGAGTGCTGGACTTCGAATCAGGGGGTAGCAAGTTCGAGTCCCACTGCAGTCAGCATGTCGTTGTGTCCCTGGGCAAGACACTTCACCCAAATTGCTCCTGTGGGGATTGTCCACAGTACTGAATGTATGTAAGTCGCTTTGGATAAAAGCGTCTAACAAATGACATGTAATAATGTAAAAGAACTTGGGCTGAACATTTCAACAATTTAGCCAAACCTATTTTAACTTTGGCCCCTCTTTTTTGGTATTTCTTCACAGGGAAACACATTGTTCACTTGCTATGTGTGTGATCGCACTTTTCCTTCATCTGAAGAGCTGACACAGCACCAGCCAACACACAGCAAGGACGATAAGCCCTTCAAATGCGTGCACTGCAAGGAGAGCTTTAAAACATTCTCTGAAGTGAGTGCCATGCTTAAAAGTAATTTTCCCTGGCTGTATTGAAACTAAAATACACAATTTCATACTAAATGTTTTTTGTATTTTCTTTTACCCGTCACATAACAGCTCACAGCCCATAGACGACAGGTGTGTCCAGAGAAACAGTTGGTTTGTAAGGATTGCAATGAAACCTTCAGGAGTGCAGGACTGTTGCGTACTCATCGCATTACCCAGCATCCCCGCCCTGACGTCGAGACCGCAGAACAGCCAGAGGATGCTGCGAAAACCCATCGCTGTAAGAAGTGTAGTCAAGGCTTTGAAACAGAACCAGAGCTGATAGCACACCAGGAGAAATACCCTGAAGGCCAGCAATGCAACGGCAGCACTTCATCTGTCAAGAAACGCGGACGGCCTACCAAAGCTGAAGACGCGGCAGCAGCTGCTGATAAGAAGGGAAAGCGTAAGAAGAAGGATGAGCCTGAAGTGCCTGAGGAGGCAGAGAAGGCTAGCAGCACATCAGAGGCAGCAGCAGCAGCAGCTCCAGCTGAAGAAAAGGGAAAGGCAGCTGGAGCAAAGCGTGGCCGTCCTCCTAAGGTGGCAGCAAAACCAGAAACTGAAGATTCGAAGAGTCCTGAGGATGACAGTGATGCTCCAGCAAAGGAGAAGAAAGTTAAAGCAGAGGCTGCTCCTGCAGCCCGTCAGCACCCCTGTCCTGAGTGTGACCAGGCATTCCCCAGCCTGATTCAGCTCCGTGCTCACAAGAAGGAGAAACACGCCCCTCGGAAGGCCCATCCCTGCGAAGAATGTGAAGAGAGCTTTGCCCGTCCCGAGCAGCTGGACGCCCACATGTCCCGAGCTCACGCCGTGGGCCGCCTCTCCTGTCCAACCTGTGGGAAGAGCTTCGGCCGTGAGCGAACCTTACAAGCTCACCTGAAAAGTCACCCCGAGGAAAAGCCTGAAACCCCAAGTGCAAAAAGATAATTGAGACATGGGGACCCTGTAAAGTCTATGGTTTTTGAAGATTTTAGTCAGGAATTGTGCTTTTTCTCTTTTAACATAGGAGTTCTGATGGTTTCAGATGAGTTTGGAATGATTTTGAGAATGACGTTTTAGCAAGCTTTGGATTTTAAGTTGAGTTTGATTATGAACTGTTGACATTTTGGACGGATGCATCTTGTAAATTGACTAACCAAATGTTGTTAAAACATTTACTACTCCCTTTGCCAGAAAACATAGTTTATTTGTAAAAACAAGTGTTTTGATTAGCTTATTAAATGATTTGTTTCAGTTTTTTAAAGCGTGAAATAATAAGTGTGGTATGAGTTTATTTCTTGGTGACTTGAGTTGTGAAACTCGGTGTGGAATTTTTTTTCTTTTTAAGTTTTCCTCTTGTTTGTTTTGTTTTCAAATTGCGTAAGTTCATATTTTGAAGCAAATTAGATGCCTAGTAGAGATACTATGTTTGAATGTTTAGACAGTTTGTCAAAAGAAATGTGTTATGTACAGCTTCTGGTTCATATAGTGCATTTTTTACTCTCAATATTTTGATTATGTTCTTTTTCTAAATTAAGTCCCATTGAAGAATCATTTTTAAAATAACACAATTATGTCCTGCTAAAGAAATATGTTTGCCTTAGTGCTACAGCTTCAATGTGATTTCGCCACAATAACAAATACTCTTAATGTTTCACTAGAATAATATCTCATGTCTTAGACATTTCTTAAATGGAACTCATGACTCTTCAATGCTTTAGGGTCCCATGTTGAACTGTGTATATCATGTGTTTTTCACTGATTGGATTGTTTCTCTCACCATTGCAATGTGTCCGGACACTGCAAGAATTTAATAAAACATGCTTTCTCAAGGGAGGCTGCCGAACATTTAACTTGTCTGTTTGTCATTGTTCACACCTCTTGCAAGACATTTTTGTGAGCCTCTTTATTGTTTTACATTTAAGGTACTGTCATCAAGTAGCCATGATGTAATATTTATTATATATTTTAAGCTCACATACTTTGGTACATTTTACACAATACTAATGTTTACTCTTATAAAAGGTTTACTGCCAACTACTAAATGAGAAAAGGATAACGATAAAGTCCTGGATATTTACTATTATCAAACAAAACGATAAACCCTAAATAAGGTAAATAATTAATTATTAAAAACATTTGAGAGCATTGCTTTATAGATCTCTATATACAAGATAGAACATTTAGCTTTTTTTCTAGAATATGGTCACTAATCTGAATTTCACTGCACTCCCTGTCGAATCAAATAGTAGCATTAGAAATTGGTATATAAGAAATGCCCAATACATATATTATAAATATTGGGTCATTAGATTGATAAAGCAGAAATAATAAACCACAATTATTATCTGTTAATGCGTATACATGGTTTACAAATTGTTTTTGAATGGATGTCAAATCCATTGTTTTTGTATCATACTGTGACATCAAGAGGGGCTACACTACACAAATGCATTAGTCATTGCTGTAAGCCCCAATACGTTAATACACATGATTCTGAATTGAGCTATAGGAATTTTACTTGTACTTCTACAATCTACACTGTAGTAGTATATTACATTTTAGAAGATATAAGTACTTTTTCGATCACTGTTTTGGGTAAATCCTTCCACCTGTAATATCATGTAATACCGCTCCGAGGCGCTAGGTGTGCTCGATCGCCCACACGAGTTTCCTCTCCTTGTGGTGCTTCATTTGTTTTCCTAATATTCAACACCCATCTATGCTGTGACCAGGTTATATGAGTGTACAGCTAGCTAGTCGGCTATTTCGCTTATCTTTCCACACCATGGTGGCAGATCTTTGTGGGGGTTTCCTATAAACGTCGCTCCTCTTTCGCCTTGGGACACAAAGCTAACACGGAGGTTGTTGTATTGTCCTGAAGCCACGCTGTGCCACCATCAGTTCCTCCTGCCAGGTAAGGGAGGTGCATTAAAGGTGCGTCATAAAATGCATTTCCAAGGAAAAGTTGTCAGACAAGCTCGATAGAAAAGGAAGAGTTAGAAAAAAGGACGCAAACCTCGAGTTTCAGCGGCAGATGTAGTCGCTCGACAGGTAAGGGGGACATTACCTGAACATATTGTGTCTTAAACGTTAACTTATAATTGTGAATGCTCATTAAACTCTTTTCTGATCCATTTCCCTTCGTGCCTCCTCAGCCAGCAGTCATGTCCATTGAATACACCATAGATATCCAGCTAACAGAGTTGGGATATTCGGACATCTTACAGCCGGAGACCACCTCTGATGGAGAGACACCCAGTCAGTCTCCCCCCTCACTTTCAACCACACACCTACAAAGACTTGACCATCCTGCAGATCTTCCACAGCTAATAACTGATCAGCCTGACACTAGGGAGAAAGATGTCGAAGGAGGAAACACTACACAGAATCATTCAACAGAAATGCAGCAGCACGGGGAGGACGACTCTGATGACAGTGATGTGTATGAGGAAGAAGAGGTCGATGAAGACTATGAGGAGGAGGATGATGATGATGATGATGAGGAGGAACTAAACAATGGTATGACTCATTCCCTTTTGACACACAACATAAAGTAGTAATGTATTGTTTAGAGTCTGTCTTAAACAATAATGATATTGTTTATATGGTTTTTGTCTCATGATAAGATTAGATTCAATTTTTTGACATCCAAAGGAACCACACCAGTGCCCCCCTAACACTGACTTTGGACCCCCCTGTGGCCCCCCTGAAAATGAAAAAAAAAAAAAGTTTATGATTAAACGATTTCTTGGCTGACGGAATAGGCGTAACTAACGCTATTTGTCTTTCTAGTCGGACCCATTAGCGTAAAAACTGTAACTATAAGTATCTAAAATAAATATGTGTACTGAAACAAATACCAATATATTGCATTGTTTTCGTATGCGCAATTACTTCATACTGTCTTTGTCTTTTTCGTCCCGCATTTATTGTGCCCCCCTCAGAAAATAACTGGCCCCAGCCTGGCCCCCCCAGTCAAATTGGTCTAGAACCACCACTGCGCAGGATATAAGATATAATGGGCTTGGGGCTGAGTGAAACAGCAGGGTGGGAGATTTGAAACAGGTTCAGGTGTCTTCATAGCATTTCTTAACAAAAATATAAAATATAGCTGGTATTAATTTCCAATCTTTCCACAGAGTCGGGTCTTTCAGGGGAGTACAGCTGCAGTGTCTGTGATCTCCAGCTGTCCTCCAAATTCAAGCTCCAGGACCACATGAATCTGCACACAGGAGCTCGGCCATACTGCTGTGCTGAATGTGGGAAGCGTTTCTGCCAGAAAAAAAGCTACCGAGTCCACCTGCGTACGCATGCCCAGGCCAAGGTGGATGTTCTCCAGTGCCGTGTGTGTCTGAAAGGTTTTCCCTCACCGAAAGACTTGAAAGTCCACCTGTCCAGAACTCACTTTGAAAACGAGTTTTACGAGTGTGACCTTTGCAAACGTGTGTTCACTTCTCTGAAGGCGTGTCAAAATCACGTTATGTTACACAAATCTAAGCAGGATGTTGTATGTGAGGTATGTGGCCGCAATTTTAACTCTCCAAAATCTCTCGCGCGCCATCAGAGAACAACCTGCCATCACAATTTTAAATGCACAGACTGCACAAAGACCTTTACTAAGAAGAACGCTCTCCTGAAGCACAGCTTCTCCCATCTAGGCTTGTTGCCTTACACCTGCGTAAGATGCCACTGCCACTTCCGCCTGGCAAAGCTGTACCGCCAACACAAATGTGAACCTGAACGCCTTCACTGTGTGGCGTGTCTGAGAGAGTTCCCCAGTCAGGAGGCCTTCAAGCAGCACAAAAAGGACACAGGCTGCTGGGGCAACCAGGAGCCTAAAGGGGACGAGATCCGATGTCTGGAGTGCGGGCAGAGATTCGACACTTCTGAAGAGCTGAAGAAACATGCCGGGGCTCACCAGAGGGTGCTGAAGTGTGCTGAATGTGGAAAGGGTTTCCGCTCGGCCTTACTGTTGATGTCCCACATGGGGGGTCATGCCGGAAAGTCACCATGCCTTTGTCAGAGCTGCGGAGTGGGCTTTCCCCACCAGCATAACTACGACAGCCACCTGAAGACCTGTGGAAAAACACCCCAGCCTGCGGTGAGTTCAGGGCACTATGTTGATGTACAGTATCATTTCAAAGCAGCAATATCTGACAGTCTATTAAATACAGATCATATAATACACCAATACATGAAATGAGTTGTATTAATATAATACACCACTGGATGACAACTTTACACAGGCATGTTCCACTGTCCTCTCTGGTCAAAAGATTCAAATCCACTGTGCTTGTTTTCAGCTTCATTATCAACATTACATTATTGTCATCTAGTTTTGTAGACAAAAAGGCAGGGGACATACATTTAATTGTGGAAGCGTTCTAAAAACATCAATATCAAAGAGATGATATGCCAGTTCCTGTTAAATGGTAAAAATTGTAATTGAAACCCACCGCAAGCATGGGTTATGGGTCTCTCCAGGTTGATTATACCGTCACGTGACACTTGTGTTTAGCATAATTTATTGAGTAACTGGGATGTTTTGTGTTTCTCATTTTAGAGTGCTCCCAAGAAGCGGCCGGCTTCAAAGAGCTCCTCATCGGATTCAAAAAAGGTTGTTACAAAACCAGAAACAATGCCCACTGTTGTTTTAAACAACCCCGCTGAACCAGTGAAGCATTCTGGGAGTCCAGGACCTTTGACTGGTGTGTCTGGTGGCTCTGTTCCATCAGACGGTTTATGGAAGCTCACCCTAGACAAACAGCCGCCTCCTGGCGTCAATCTCGTTGTGTTTCTTCCTGTCTGTGCATCTCAAACCCCCGGCCTCAACCTCCCGTCTGCATCCTCTCCTACACTACCGGTTCTAGCTCTGCAGGGCCAGCCTCAAGAAGCTCTACCGCATACCTCCGGAGTGCCGCTAAATGGCCATCTGAATTTGGATAATGGGATCAATCCCGAGTGTGAAGCACCTCTGGATTTGTCCAAGAAGTGTAACTCTTACAAGTCAGCTCCGAGCAACATATCTCTTCTTCCTAAAAGTGAGCCAGGAGAATGGGACACTACAGGAGAGGCTAATGGCACTGAAACAAAAGAATTTAAAAATAGTTATAGCAAAGCGATTGTTAAGACAAACCCAGAAGAGAAATATTCAGAAGTGAAGCAGTTTAAAATTGATCCTATGGATCTCTCCAGTTTTGAGGTGAGTACAACATCCTCTGGACTTATAATAGACATAAAGAAAGAGCCCCAATCTCCTGGTCCTGATCGAAATCCAAAATCATCCACATCTTGTCAGCTGACTGAGAAAGAAATGAAGATGGAGGTTGACATTTGAAACTATGCTGATATAGAGAAATTTGACATTTTGGTAAGGGCAAAATAAAAAAAGAGTTGTCCCATATCCTACTGGAGGGTGTGTTTTAAATTCTACAACAGACTGCTGTACCTGTGGCCCCCAAACCAAACATGGAGGTGTTACGCTAAAATGGTATGCTTTTCTGTCTAATCCCTTTTTCTACCATCCAACCCCCTTTTCTTACCTTATCAACCTTTGTATGCAAAATAATTTGTCATATTCTTTAACTATTGGTGTGTTTCTAATGCGGGACCTTAGAAAAATAAATATTTTAGTTTATTTATAATTAATAAAAAACATTCCAAACGCTTGCCTCTTCTGGCATTCCTTTTATTGGAATTTCCATATGAAGCTTTTCTCTTCGGCCAACGGAGCAAATGGGTACTGTAGCTGTTCTGAAGTCTATGCAATGTAAACACTTCCAATTTCTACCTTTTTTCCATACTTGTTTTTGTGTGAGAAATCCTTAGGTTAATGAATGTGTGTATAGTTGAAAGAAAAAACACTGGATTTTTTTTTGTATAAAAAAACATTTCTTTATATAGACAATGTGGAATATTTAATGAATGCAGCAATGGTACTGATCAATACTTTTCTGTCACTTTGTCATTTGCTGAAACTTTACAGCCTGCAGGTATCTTTTCATGTTTTTCTGAAGACAAATAAACAGTCATCCTTGATGCAACATCAGTGTGTGTCTTGTTGACATCCGTTTGTTCTTAATCCAAAAAGACATCCTTGTGTCTCATTAAACAGGAAGACAGCTGTACATCCACAGCGTCAGGTAAGTCTTTTACTAGGGCTCACCTATATCTTGAATATTTTATCTTCAACCTAGATAGAGATTGAGACTAGGCAAACACAAATTCAAAACTTACCTTTTGAAACTTTTAGAGCTTTGTTGTTTTTTCCGGATATTTGAGAGGTGTAGTCTATTTCAATTTCATTAGTGAGTATTATGATAATGCTGGAACACTGATGATAAAATAACTTCTTTTTAACATAAAAATTAAACTGAGAAAAAAATATTTTGTATATATTTTCTATTGGACTAACTACAAGGATTAAAGACTCATTCCATTGTCTGACATGTTTTCTGTTTGTTCTCGCACAACAAACTTGATTATTGACATATTTTTGACATATCTGTCTGGGGATTTTAGTTTTATCATATGTAAAAATAAACAAGTTTACCTTGATGGTTTTTGCCAATTGCCAGACTCATATATGCTAACCGGTGGATCTAAATTCCTCATGCCTGTTTCATCTTACCTGTAATTTCTTTTTTTAAATGTTATTGGAATAACAATTTATTTGCTAGTTTGTACTATTGTGATTAAATACCTTCATGCTTAATATTATTAATAATATATTAAATATTCAATTAGTGTTTATTTTGTCTCTTGAACATTTAAAAAAATGGAAAGACTCCAACTCGTGTCACATGATTAAAGAACCCGGATATACAAAGTCTGCTGCCGAGTGACGCGATGTTTGTAACGGTGATTTTAACGGGAGGAGGCTACGGTAGATAAGTTATCATATGTAAACAGAAGTGCATTTTATTAGGCCTTCATTGAACCTCAGTGTATGATATATGGAAATCGTTGTTTTAAGCTAAGCTGTACATCCGAGGACGACAACACTGTTTGTTTATATTCATGGACAAATGAATAATAAGTGGAGCGACATTGTAAGTAGACCCCGTTATTTAAGTCAGTCCATTTGAGAGGAACTTGTGTTTCAGCTAAAGTTAAGCAACATATACATCTTAGTCAATGCACAATCAGTTGTACTTTTGGTTATCTATACACTAAATGTATCTGTTTTATTTGTTCTATGTCCTATATTCATGTTGCACTGTTGGAGAAGCCTGTGACTTAAGTTTTTCATTGCCATATCTACAGTACACTGTAGCTAATGTGCACATGCCAATAAAGCCTTGAATCTTGAAAATGCATTCAGACTCTCAGCTGTGCCTTGTACTTCTTGCAGCGTGCTCCGTGCTCCTGGATGGAGATGCATCAGTTAATTGGTGACCTTATCACATCTGGAAACTCCTTGAAGGATCAACCAGATGTGCTTACCACAGCATGGGGCGTTGCTGCTGCAACTGCTGGTGGAGGTGAGGGTCTGCGGTTCAAAGATGCTTCACTTGTACCTCCACAACAACCTCCATCTTCCCGGGACAAGTCAGAATCGGAGCCCAGCAGACAGTCTGGGGCATCACAGAGGAAGATAGAGCCGGCCAAAGACAGAAGAGAAGGTAAGAGCTCAAAATGATGGTTTCTATAATGTTCTTGCGTTTATTATATTGTAATTCATATTTCTTTATACGTCCAGATGTGCGTAACACCTGCACCTGTCCTGGTTGCCCTTACTCCACTTCTCCTTCTTCCTCTGATACTGTAAAACCTGGACAATCTATGTCCTCACCCCCACGCTCTAATGCAGTATGCCACCCCAAAGACCTCCGCAGGACTGCTCCAATGAGCCTCAGCAGTGAACCCAGCAGCACCACACCTGATCTGGAGACCAGGGGGTCCAGCCGGCCACAGACGGAGGGGGAAGACACTCACAGCCCGGACCAGACTCCTCCTTCCAGAGGGTCTTTGGGCCACGTGTCCCACCTCTCCTTGTTTCCCTGCTTGTGTTGCCATCGCCTGCAAACCTGTACCCACATACTGAGCCACCAGGAAGGCACTGACTCCCGTTTTCCTCACAGCCATCATCCCTTTCATCACAACCACTGTCCTATAACATCTTGTTTACCTTGCCCTCAGCTCTCCGGCCCCTTCCCCTGCTTGCCTTGCCAGCGCTCTTCCCCCCCCTGCCCCCACCAGCACAGACAAACACACACTCAGCAACAAGAAGAAATAGGACGGGCGCCTATGAGCATGTTGTCGCTGCATCCCTGCATGCACTGCTCTGCCTCTTTCTCCAGACCGTCCCAGTTGCTGCAGCACCAGCGCTCTGAGCACGCCCACAAACAATCCGGTTTCCTCTGCACAGAGTGTGGCAGAGCCTTCAACTCCCACAGCAATCTCCGCATCCACCTCAACGTGCACACGGGCGCCCGGCCATACACCTGCTCGGACTGCGGGAAGAGTTTTAGCCAGTCGGGGGCTCTGAAGATCCACAGGCGGATTCACACAGGCGAAAGGCCGTATTCCTGTGGATTTTGTAGCAGGGGGTTTCCCCATCTTGCAGGGGTCCGGGCCCATCAGAGGACACACACAGGAGAGAAGCCTTACTGCTGTAGCCAGTGCGGGAAATGTTTCACCCAGTCAGGAGCTCTTAAGATCCATATGCGCATCCACACAGGGGAGAGACCCTTCATCTGCAGCTTCTGTGGCAAAGGCTTCTCCAACCGCTCCGGGATCCGCTTCCACCACCGCACAGTCCACGGGCTGGCCCCCCAACACGGAGGAGCTGGAGATGTAGATCGAGGTCCAGCAGGTCGTAGTTGTCAACCTGGGCGCCCCAGGACTTTTCCTGGGCTAAATACACCCAACAGTCTGGATACAAACTCACAAACAAATCCCAGAGAATGTCCTGTTTCTGCCGCTGCTCATCCTGGTAATGAGAGCAAATCTCAGTCAGGGGAAACAAACCCAGGCACCAGCAGAGGGGGGCTTCTGTACGCATGTGAAGACTGTGGCCTGCGCTTTAAGGACGCCCCGTCCAGGAACAGACACCAGACTCTAATGCATTACTCCTCTGAAGGGAGGGAGGAGGAGGGGCGGGGGGTAGAGATGAGCACAAACAAGAGGGTCCGTGATAACAGTGGTACATTACAGCAGGCTAACAACATCCAACCATTAGAGTGAATAGTTCTTAAAAACAAGTGTTGGAATTATGTTTGCGATATAGTTAAAGGTGGTCTAGGTAATGTTGGAGAAACCAGCTCGAGTGCGCTAGAATTTGAAAATACACAGCCGGAGAAAATCTGCCACTTCCTTACAGAGCCCCTCCTCCAACACACACGAACGCGCACATGACCAATGAGGGCACGAGATAAGTTTGTGCACAGATGGAAGGCTGACAGGCAGGTAGGCCATCCAGTTATTTTAGCCGGGCCGGCTAAAATGATTGGTCGTGCTTTTTACAGTACTACAGCTTCCACAGATGACATTTTTTTATGGATTTTTTTGTCAAAGCACTTAAGATATTCATTGCTATCGGGATGTTAAGAGCATTCCATGGAATATAACAAAAAGTGTATCTCGAGCCGGTTTCTCAAACTTACCTACTCCACCTTTAAGTATCGCACTTTTACATTTGAAAAGTCTTTGTTATAGCACTACATCTCTTTTTCAGACCTAAATTAAGATGTTTCATTTAATTTGTAAAACCAAAACTGATTGAATCAAATGTTTTGTAGATCTTGAATTCAGAAGTTCAATTATCTTGTTCGAACCTTAAACCGTTGGATCCCATTGGAGGTATCCAGCTGCTTGTTTCATGTCTATTTTTAAAATAACCTTGATACTGTAATCACACACCAGGTCAACAACGGAAATGTTTTTCCCCTTAACACAGTTTTCTTTTTATTGTGCCTTATTCAGCAGTGGTAGAGGTAAGCCAATTCATTACTAAATGTGACACGTGTAAAAGAATTTCAAAAAAATTATATAACATATGAGGTTCTTTTATTTACATTTTCACATATAATGGCGAACTTCCACGGCCCCCTTACCCTTATTATATAAAAACCCTTTGGATAGGAAAAAGGACAATTTTCTATCTTCTTCTTTTTCACTAAGAGTGAACAACAGCGTCGACATATCGGTTTATTTAAATGTTCCTTAGTAATTCTATCTGTTTAAGACCTGTGTTTTCCTTTGAACAAATCTTGGCATCATGGCATAGACAATGAAAGCAGGAAGCACAGAGTTAAGTCAAATGAAATTACTGTCGAGTGACAAAAAACAAGGCCACATATTGGAACTGTTTATGTTAAGGTTGTGTGTCTTGCATAAGGACACAGGGTTGTTGTGCCTTTCTGTGTTATACTAAAAGCATTTATTTAAAAAAAGAATATGTTTGTTACTATTTATGTTTATAAATGGAGGACACATATCAGAGGAGTGAGAAACAGTGGATGAGTAAAACAACTCATTACTGTTTAAAGCTCAAGGGAGCCCTCTAGTGGTTATTCTTCATCATAGCAACAATATGAACCACTGTTAGTGTTCCATTTACAGTGCTTCTTAAATGTTGTTTCTTTTGCAAAACATGTACAAATCATACATTGTGAATACAATGTTTAGTGAGAACAAGTAACATAATCAATTCACTCTGTTTGCATTAACCTGTTAAACACACTGAGGCAGACATTGCTGTATGTGTTTTCTGAAAGTGCAGCTTGTGATTAAACATTTCAATATCTCTGAGTGCGACGCCACTGAGCCTGCGTTTTCTTTGTGCATCACGGTATACTTCCGCAACATACTTCCAGGAAGGAAATATTTGTTTGCATATGGTTCTCAGATCTTTGTGCACCCTTGTATGTGCATTGCGCTCCAAAGTGACTTCCCAGCTTCGGATACATCCCTCACAGGAAGTTCAGCTCTGTCAGCATGAGTTCTCTCTGGACAACACTGTCCATCTTAGTGTCCACTCCAGATCACGGTTTAGCTCAGAAGAGTCTTTTTTTCTTCCATGTCTGAGCTCACAAAGGCTCTTCATATGTGGGCTTCTGTAGTAAAGTGTCACATGACTTTGGCTCAGCGTACACCACACTGACGGGCCGGGGGCCGTTGGCATGCAGGGCCGGAGTGCAGTAGCCGTTGGACAGCACCCTGTGTGAGGGGCAGTCGTACTGAGAGCGGCTGGGGGACGTCCTGGGGCCAGTGCTGGGTGCTGGTGTGAGAGGTGTGTGTGTATGGCTGTGAGCCAGAAGGCTGCACTCGGTGATCTGCTCACTGAACGGGGTGGCGTACTCTGGCTCTGGGGGGAGGGGCTCGGCGTATTCCGGCAGGTTGACAGGAGTGTCATAATGGTTGAAGGCGAAGGGCGTGGTGTAGCCTTCGTCTGAGGAGGGTCTGAATGTAGACCCGATCTTCTGTCCAATAGCAGCAACAGCAGGCTCTGCATAGTCTGGATGGATATAAAAGGATATTTTAATTTCTATTAATTTGGGATGCGACAAACATTGTCATGGGTATCAGAAACATACAAAACGGTATCAGTGTATATTGGAGAGCTGTGGATGTTGTTACTGTTGGACAGAACTTAGCTAGCTGTTCGCCCCTGTTTCCATTCTTTGTGCTAAGCTAAGCTACTGGCTGCTTCCTTGTGTGAATATAAAACAGGAAGATATTAGAGTGGCATCAATAGTCTTATCTAACTGTACATAAAAGCTAAAGTTTGCCAAAATCACTGAAACGGAGACAAATGTATCCGATATTTTAATCTTTGTTTTATACATTTTTTACTTTGTAGCAATATTTACTTAACTCAATAGAGGTTTTTATTTAGGCAACTACAAAGTGTTATTCTTATTTTGTATATCCCTGCAAACAAGGCACTACTGGGATACAGATGTTATTTTAAGTGAGCTTCCCTTGTAAAAGTAAATAAATATTCAATTCATCAATTTCTCTTAATATAATAAATTAACCAGGATTAAAGTATAATCTTTAAAACCATTTGATTACACTAAAGTACCTTTTGAAAATACTGAGATTAAACTCCTAACTGAAGGTTTTACTACTTCTCCCAAACCTCAGGATAGTAAATAAGTAAACCATAAGATTGAAGGTTTTTCAGTGTATGCCTTCCTAAGGTCAATAATTAACGTCTGCACATTTCAAACTGGCATTTCTTTGTCTTCAAGACTCCTATAGAAAATGCATATCATCCAATATAGGCAGGAAATATCAGTAATCATAACATATTGGAGAATCCCCACTTATACCTCATTAAATGGGTTTGAAAACTCACTTTGTCGCATAGCAGAATCCTGTCTTGATGGGAAAAACGTTTGAATGAATTGCTTATTTGCATATTACGGCGCACTTCCTGGGAAATGCTACTCTTCTTCTCAGTAGCAGTCCCACACTTGGGCAGTTTTGCGCCCCTGTCTGAGCTACTTGGCCACCGACAATATGTCCTCTAATCACAGGGACGGGGGCCGACAGTGTGACCAGACCGGGCTGTGGTGTGGGAGGCCTAGACCCCTACTCAAGAGCCCAGGGAGCCTCAGAGCTGCAGCTATTTTAATGAGACGGGCCTCAGTGAGGGCTTTGATTGTCTTAGCTTTGACCCTGTGTCCTGTTTATCGCTGGACCTCTCAGTGAAGTGCCCCCTCGCTGGGGGAGGGGATGGGGGAGGCAAAGAGGGGGACTGGTGGTGGTAAGGGAGGGGGGGCTGAGCGCCATTTATCAAGCTCCAATTAAAGGGTCTCTTTCAGAAAGGCTCTGTGGACCAAAGAAAGGAATGTTTATACTGCATCTGGGTGATGGGCTGAGCCGGGGGAAAGAATGGACGGCCCGTGGAGAGAGCTGTTTGCTGTCAAACTGACCACTGAGGCCAGAGACTGTTAGTGGAGGAAAGATGGCAGAGATCACCACTTGAGATCAATAATAAACGATGAAAAGGCGATGAAAAGACTGGCAAAAAGGAAGCAGCTGATAATAGCAAGGCGTTTTACTGAGACACTGCCGCGTTCTGTTGAGAAATAAAACATTTTCCTATGAATTCTCACCATTGAGAGGAGGGCTAGGTAGAGCATCATGGACGTTTCTCTCCAGAGGGTAAGAGATGAGCTCTGATTGCGGGCAGGAGAGACTCTTAGCCTGGAAACTCTGACAACCTGCTAGACACACAAACACACAGTTAGAGGCTTTTAAAGGAAGTTTAAAATACTGGATCATTATTAGAAGAGCAACTAACTTACTGGTGGGTAAGGAGTACTTCAGCTGTGAATCCTTTTTCCTATATGGTGAAAAAGATCAAAACAATAGTTAAAGTATTGCACATACAGTCCCTGACTACTCGATGTCCATTTGTGCCCAATCTATATAGTAGTATGGTAAGAAAACTGTCTAGAAATCAGTCACTGACTATTTGGGGAAGAATCTCACAGTACAACTTAGATAGCATGAAAACTCACACTTTTATTTATAGTAAAAGAAGAAAATGCAAACATTGTGTTTATTAAATGCATTTTAATATGATATTTTTATATTTTGACTAAGTATATTCAACTTGTTATGAGACTTAATACTTGATTGTATTCGCAGTAGTTTCTCAGATACGGCCATTTTCTTATCACACTAAATATAGTCTTTGGGCATTTGGGACTAGTGTTTTCCCATGTGTGAAACAAATAAATATATAATTGATAAGAAAAACCCCTATTAACCAAATGTTTTGACTGATTTCTTCAAATTGTGATTATGCAAGCCTCAAAAAGACTCCCTCCACCTGAAACAGGTTAATAAGTAGTGACATTATTCTATGTGTTATAAATCCATTTCGGTCAGAGAGTTTGCAAACTGAGTATGAAATAAGATAACTGTGAAAAATGTCAACGGTTTTAAAATACAGTACCTTCGCTTCCACCAGACCCCAGCCATCAAACAACTGCCGCACATTATCAGCCCCAGCACCACTCCCACGGCCACTATCACCGGCTGGCTGGAGCCTGCAGGGACACAAGTGTCCGAGTGAGTAAACAAGGGTGAGCAAGGAATGCCGTTTATTGCAATGTACACAATGTGGAGTGGGAGAAGAACGTATAACATTGTTTTTTCTTATCTGATGTATTTTCTTCTTAACTAGACTGGCATGTATTTGAATTGTACACATGTGAAATAAAAAAATGATACATGTACATACTTAGTCTTGTCTCCACTAACACTGGGCCCTCTGTGGGGGTCGGGGGGAGGGTGGGCCGTGGTGTGCCCATATTAACTTTGATGGGTGGAGATTCTGCTGTAAAAGTAGGATAGTAGAATATCAGACACAACCTCACACAGCTTAGAGAGCTCATGTGATAGCTGGTTCTTGATAAGTAATAATACACACCAGCAGGTGGGCGTGACCTTGGTGTGGCCTTGGCAACGGGACAGCCCAGGACCTGCACCTGAACGGAAGCGTGCCCCTCCCAGCTCAGCGGCTGCAGCCGGACAAACCGAGCCACCACAGGAGGGAAGAAACTGTTGAGGACTCTGTGATGGCCGTCAGTGTAGGCCTGAAACACCTGGGGACCAAACAGTAAGTTACTTATTGACAGAGAACAGCAGGAAGCCTGGAGTACAGACTCAGTTCAGTACCAACCATTTAGGTGAGCATGGTACAAGGCATACCTTTTTTTCTTTGCTGAGAGCACCTTTGTAAAGCTTCCAAGTTTTCCTGTCCTTGCTGAAAAAAAGACTGAAGGATTCTATGTAGCATTCGTTTGATCCCGTTGTTATTATTCCTAAAAAATCAGAACACAACCTTGCATGAGATAAAACATACCACAAAATATCCAATATCAAAAAACAAACAAACACATTTTTGTAAACATTTTAGCCAACGGAAACATTTAAAGTATCCATCTCCCATGAAAACAGCACATGTGTTGTGCTCTCAGTACTTGTAAGACTTCTCCACCTTGTCTGTGAAAAAGGCCACTGAATGAGAAGACTGATTGTTTTTTTACTGATTTGTTTTTTGTTCCATCAATAAGGTGAGGCTCTAAACATTTTCAATAAAGAGAATGTTGGCAGCAGACAGAGAGAAGTAACCATGGATAGTTTAGCTTTGGGACTTTATTTGCTGATTTTGATGGTGTGCAGTACATTGTGTGGGTACAAGAAAAGCAAGTGTTAAAAATAGTGTAAAAGAGAGAGATGTAGTAAGCTACAATTTTGGAAGAATGTTACTAATTAAGGCTTGGTGTGCGTGTAACCTTCATTTAGAGATATGTTGCAATGTCTGCTCTCCAAGCATATTGGTTACTACTACTGACAAAAACAGGTCACAAATATAAAGTTCCACTTTTTGAAAAAGGCACGAATATTTCCACAAACATTATTCAAATAGTAAACATTAGTGTGTTTGTTGGGGAACAGTGAGGTGAATACATATTTTGTAATACTGCACTAGGAAAGTATATGTGGGGTTGACTAATAATGAATGACTGTTGCCATGTATATATGACTTAGGGAAGTCAACCATTGATGTGTTTTTAATTATTGTCGGACAACAACGGAAGTCATTGACACAGAACAATAACATCCTGCTAACCAGGCTTCAGATGAACAGAAAAATCGTTATTTTTCATGGAATTTGTTCAAATAAAAAATATCGGCAGACATATCTTCCAAAGAGCTTCGCATTCAGATGTTTTAATAAATATATTTTGCACTGATTATTTCATTCAAACATTTGTACCTGTGAT